ATCATTAATGCCTCTGCCAGTTTCTAAAATGTCTTTTATTTCAAGAAAGGGAAAAGAATAAAAAGTTGCATCAGCTGGAAGTTCCCATCTTGATGCTTGAAGCATGTCAGACCTATTACATAAATCTTCCGAGTAGAGTGACTCAGAGGATGATCTGTGCTGGGTTCCCTCTGGAAGAAGGCAAGGATTCATGCACAGTAAGTGGCTTTCTAATACTTGGAGTACAGCCAGATGGATTCTGAAAAAGAGGAGTATTGAAACCTCACTATGAGCTGTTTTCTTGCAAACAGGCTGTAGATCAGGCATATCCAACCTGCAGCCATCGCTCAGCAAGAAATAACCATCACTGTTCTATTAACTCTGCCTCAGCTGAAAGCAGGCCAGGAGAGTGCAGTGCAGTGCCAAACCATGTTACAGCATGGCATGTTGCCATGTTATGCTATATGGCATGTTTTATGCATGGCTAAACACGTGAGCAGCTTAGACCTATTTTTACCAAAGTTATCTTTTAAAAACTTAAAGAGTGCTTTTAGATGGTAACCACATTCCTTTGTCCTTGTACAGGGTGATTCTGGTGGCCCATTAGTTTGTCCTTCAAAAGATGGCTCAGGATTTTACACCCTTAATGGAATCACTAGCTGGGGCTTGGGCTGTGGAAGAAAGAGCTACCCAGGAGTATACACAAATGTTGGTGTTTTTGTGGACTGGATCAAGCAGAGCATTAACAGTAGCGGTATGTATGGAAACAAACAAAAACAGTTCAATGAATCTTTTGGCTATTGCTAAATACTTTGAGGCTATCTTTATTATTTCTTTGAGGATACCATTTTTATACTTGGTGTGCCTAGCACTCCCTGAAATTTAAGCTATTTAAAGTATTTCTGGTGAGTGCTCAGAAGTAGGTGAATCTAAATCAGTGGTCACTTCTGAAAACTTTATTGGTGTATTGTTATTCATGTCTTTTGTGTTTTTCCTTCTGATGAACAGTGCGTTTCTATGAAAATCACTCCATGATTTTCATTACTGCTGCTTTGCTGCCTTATTTCTTAAGGCTAGCAAAGGTGAGGAGGTGTGAAATGACACGTGGCAACAGTGAGTCCACTTTGATAAGTATACTGACAGCCTTCAGTGATCTTTGCAACATCTATCCTGTTTTTTTGTTTGCTTTTTTCTTTTTGTAGATCTGCCCGTTTTCATGGTGTAACTGTCAAAAGAGTTGTGATGGACTACACTGTAGAAGGCTTCCAAAGTACAAATGTCACTAAAAGCAAAATTTGGTGAGAGCGTACTAGTTTGTGACTGCTGAAGAGATCATGGAGTGGCTGATACTTACCTTGATCAATTTACTGCTTGTTTTCCTGATTGAGACCTCAACCTTACATGTGTGTTCTTGGGATATACATAAGTTACTTACAGGTTTCTGACACTGTCAATCTATATTAGAAGGAAGGATAGGTCACCACATACTGTATGTCAAGCATGCACTCAAATGCAGCCCTGGAGAAAACAAAAATCTATGCAAAATAAGCATGTATGTTAAACAACTGAAGTCTTTCCCTAAGGTCAGTGAGAGTGTTAGCTCTGGCTCTGAGGAGACCCAGGCAGTGGTGGTACATCTTTAAGGATCAAAATAACACTGTCTAGTGATTAGTCATGTAAATCAATCCAATTGCTTGGAAAATAGTATTTTAATATGCACAAACGATGGTCCTTAGAAGCCTGATCTGACTGACTTGTGTATCTATTATTACAATGATTTGACTACGTTATTTTCCTGTTACTGTAACAATTTTTCTACATGTAATTGTGCCAAAAGAATTTTGGTACTTGGGAAAGTGCCACCAAAAGCAGAATAGATATAACTGTGTTCAAAACTGCTTGGGCTTCTGGGATGTAAGGAAGGTTCAGTAGGAGAGCCTGGGTCACTTACATGAGAACCTTCTGGTCTGCCTACCTGGTGGAATCATCCATCGATGTGAATCCCCATGAACAAGCCCAGCTTGTGTGTAAGATTGTGCAAGATTTTACCATCTTGTTAGATTAGAATTCCAGTGAAAGGCATTTTCTGGGCATTAAGTGACTTGTTATCAATGTAGGGAATTCTACACAGTAAGGGCTGTGCTTGGTGCAAACACTCATCTCTACGATCCACAGCTTTTCAATAACCTGGGGTACTGAGTATGTTTCTCATGCTTGATCTAAGGTTTCCCTTACATCAACCATGGTCCCATTTTAAATGTTTTAAATCAGTTACGTACAGTATGTTATTTTAGGTCTGTTAATCTTAGCAGTGGAAGTATTGACAGAAGTCTGAAGGAAGCCTCGATGACCTGTTGAAAACATTTATAGCGTGGTGTTGCTATGTTCTGTTCCAAATTTCTGTATTGAAGAAAAGTTGGTGTTTTGATTAAAAAGTAACATCACCTTTTCTGGATAAGAAAACTTCCTATTTTAACAAATTGCTTGTTGTTCAAACAGAGGTGTTCAAAAAGACAGGTGGTCCAGGCCAGCAGCCTCTGGCAGCATGCAGTAACTGGCAAATGTCCTAATTAATCTATCCGTATAATCAAAGAGGTACTGTGTAATTCACATGCTTCAAAGTGAGCACATCTGCTTGTAAATAGCAATTTGTTTAATGCCTAAATGGCTGCTTGCACTAGAAATTGTGATGAGAGGCTCCAATTAGATTTGCAGGCTGTGCTGTGCACGGCTGTAGGTTTAGAAACTAGATCAGTATGGATAGCATAATAGGTGACGTGAGTATAATCCTTTGACTCAATGGCCTGGAAAACAGCTAGGAAGGAAGTAAGATGTCTTGTCTCTGCTGATATTAGTGGCAAAACATTTTGTGTCCAGATGTAAAGTCCTCAGTACAGGAGAGATGTGGACCTCATGAAGCATGTCCAGGGGAGGGCCACAAGAATGAAAATACTGCATGGTGAGAGGATGAATTCAGATTGATTTCAAAGATGCATAAGGCATAGTTGTGTTATTGACAGAGTATGCTTGTTCCATCTCCGAGCTCTTGGAAGGGACTCCTGAAAAGGAAAGGAGGGGAAATATCCTTTGTGGTTTTTCGTTGTAGAAGTTTGTTATTGTTTGGTTCTGGGGGGAGTTGCTGTTTGCTGATGCATCAAGTGTAACTGTGCTGGAAGTTGGGGTGCCTCATCTCTTGGATGTGGTTCTGTTTTACTTAATGGGAAGTTGAAGGAGGGAAGATTTAGGTTGGATGTTAGGGGGAAGTTCTTTACAAGGAGAGTGGTTAGGCCCTGGAACGGGCTGCCCAGGGAGGTTGTGGATGCCCCGTCCTTGGATGTGTTCAAGGCCAGGTTGGACGGGGTCCTGGGCAACCTGATCTGAATGTGTGTGTTTGGTGGCCCTGCTAGGCAGGGGGGTTGGAACTACATGATCCTTGAGGTCCCTTCCAACCCGGGTGATTCTGTGTGAGGACTTAAAGTACCTGTAAAGTTGTTTTTCTGTTTGTTTGTTGTTCTGCTTATTAAACAAATACAAGAAATAACTAGTTTTAAAAAAGTGCAGAAAACCAACCCCAAACCAAGAAAAAGCAGCGATGGGGGAACTGCAGGTGGTATCAGCTGCACCCCTATTGAATGCAATGGACATATGGATAGATGCAGAGCTAACATCACTTAAAATGCCTTATGTGTGTTAGGAGACCTATCTTCCTGTATTTGATTTGATTATTACAGTACTTATTTTTACTTGGCTGCATGACGCCAACCTTTTGCATTTCTGCTGGTGGTTTCTCAAGTAATCTCATTTTGCTGTTGTTATATCTTTCTAGGCTATTGAAAACTGCAAGGATCTTTTATCAATAAAAGAAGCGTGAACTGTTTTGGGATGCAAATAAAATCTGATAGAAGAAATTAAAAACAATGCTTTCAATTGAGTTAATGCAGTGGGATTGTATTTTGGCTTGGACTCTTGTGTAAATGTTGTACACTTTATTCTGACCTGTGGAACAGCACTCAGAGACTCACAGAGAATATGAATGTAAGGTAGTTTTATTAGATTTAAGGTTTATACCTTACAATATGCAGGCTCATAATACTGCAAACTAAAAAAATGCCCACTCGCTCTGGACAGTGGGTTGTTCTGTTGTTAACTAATTCCACGAATGTTTTCTTGTTTTTCACTTCTTCTTGGACCTGTGCAGTGTAGTGTTTGGTCCTTTTGAGTTTTGTTTCTTTTGTAGTGATTGGTCCGGTTTCTTACCTGAAGGCGTTAGACCTGGAATCCCAAGTATTTTCTACTTCCCACCGTACCACCGACAAGCGAAAGCCTTAACCCGTTTCTAGCAAGCCCCTCCCAAGTCCCGCCTATACCGAGCAAGCCACTCCTTAATTAATTAATCTCCTCCTTTTCTAAGTAGGCCACTCCTCGATCTCCGCCTCGCCTCCCTTCAGCCTATTCTCACGAAATCCAAGTGTGGACCCCCTCTCCCCAACCCCTCTTTCCCCCCGTACACCCCTGCCTACAACCCCCGTGTACAGGGACCACGCTAGCAGCTCTGCCTCCAGTCAATTCCTTAGCGGTTGCAGGAGAGCTCCCTGAGCCCTGCAATCCAAAGGTAGGCTGCTGCTGTAAAATCTCAGCAGGGCTCCCGGAGTGCTTAAAACCTGGACGTGCACCTTTTGTATTGTTCTGTGTAAATGTCTTCTTTGTAACATGGCATGGAAGGGAATTTACAGACTTCAGGGAGGATGTTTCCGTATGAAAACAAAAAGCTGCTATCTTTGGTTGTGAACCCCCCACTGTCTGCCGACAGTATGCACTGCGCTACCTGGCCTGGAGGAGCTGACTGCTGTCGCTTTACAGGCGGACGGCGGCACGCGGCGGCGGGCCGGAAGCCCCGCGCTGCCCACTGCGTTCTGCTGGGCACGGGGGAGGAGCAGAGCGGTGAGCGCTCGCCACGGGAAGCGCCGTACGAACACGAGGCACTGCGAGGCGGAGCCCGGAGGCGGGCGAGCGGAGAGCGGAGAGCGGAGAACGGGAGCGTCGGTGCGCCTGCCGGCCGTGACCACAGCCATGGAGCCGTTCTCGGTGAGCGGCCCGGAGCGGGGCCGGGGCGCGCGGGGGGTGGACCAGGTGTTCCGTGACCGCTGCCCTTCTCCCCGCAGGGTATCCCCGCTGTCGTCGCGTTGGTCGCGGTGGCCGCGACGGCGCTGCTGCTGCTGCTGCTGAGAAGGGCGGGGCGGGGGCCGGGCCGCCCTGTCACGCTGCGGGACCCGCAGGCCAAATACCCGTTGCCGCTGGTGGGCAAAGAGGTGAGCGGTGGAGCGGCGGCGGGGCCCGGGGCTGCGTTACGCGGGGCGGAGCGGCGTTCCTGGTGGGTCGCTGCCGGCGCGGTGGTTTCCCAAGAAGGCCGGGCTCCTCGCTGTGTGCCTTGAAGTCCTGTCTTGGAGCTCCGTTAAACCCGAGGCTTCCGCGGAGTGGCTCCGCAGCTCGCGTTGTCCTGCCGTGCCCGACCTTTGGCCATAGGCAGCGCGGGTGCTGAGGGGGGCCGTGCAGCTGAAGGGGACAATTCCTTGATCCTAAAACTCAGAGTTGTCTAAACTTCGTTTACAAAGCTATTTGAGCTGCTCTTGCTGGCTCCTGGCTCCGTGCTAATAAAGAACAGGCTCCTAACTCACAGTGTGGGGTAGAGCTGAAATCAACAGCAGTGGTGTGTTGGCTTCATTTTGAATTTCGTGTTTTTTAAATAGGAGATCAGCCACGACACTAAGAAATTCCGGTTTGGGCTCCCTTCACCAGATCATGTCTTAGGATTACCCGTAGGTAAATACTTACAGCATTTAAATACGTCTATTTTTGAGAATGAGGATTGTTAAGCTCTTGAGTTTCTGTGCTGGAATTCAGAGCTCAGCTGGAGTTGAGAGCTGCACCTGGAAGCTGCCATGTCAGAAGGAAGCACCAACTGGGTTTCCCAAAGAGTCACATTTCAGATTTTCTTTATGCTCTGTCCTGCTTGTGTTACATGGTGTGGTGTAGTTCAGAACAAGAAGGTGAAATGCAGGTGAAACTGAACCAGTCTGAGAAAATTAACCCCGCTCAAGATACAAGCAAAAGAGGTACCCGTCTGAGCTTTTTAATACAAGTTACTTCTGTTCTGCTTTTCTCTGGTGTTTCAGTTTGTCAGGTGTCCTCAGGTTTTTTGGCAGCTGCAATCACACCCATGGATAAGGAATGGAATTATTCTGCCTGTAACGATTGCATGCACATCCCAGTGGAAATTTATATCAAAGATGTTGCAGTGTTCAGAGCCGTTTCTATGCATGCACTGAGCTTTGACACAGATACGTGTACAGCTTTGGCTTATTTTCTGCACTGGGCAATTCATTTCAGACTAGGATTGGCAGAGTCTTCTTTCTCGTACTCTGAAAGTGCGATGGCATTGAACCTTGGACCTTGAATTAATGGTAATTTATGCAGAACCGTGTCGTTGGCTGATATGGCAGATGGAGCCCTGTTTGTATTGTGCTGTGTTTGGCAGCTTTCTTGCTGTATGCACAAGTTCCAGTTCTGTGCTGTGGGCATGTCCTTCTTGCATGCACCTGATCAAGCACCAGTCTTTCTTCAGGTTCTCTTTAGGGTCATATGGGACATGGAATTGAACTAACCATGTTAAATTGGCAAATTATAAATGCTTTGCTACATGCTGCCTTTTATTTGGAGTTCATTCATAAGAAATTAGGAATATGATACTGGAATTGTATGGGCTGGATTCCTGCCTCCTACTTTTACCAAGATCGTTTTGCCAAAAGTTTTTCTGCTACTGCTGCTTCTGCTTTTTGTTTTTAAGTACAGATCAATGCTGCTGCTTGTGAAGCTGGGTGGCAGCAAATGCTGTGTTTTTATTAGCTAAATACCAAATCTAAATACAGAACAGAGCATCCTACAAGGCAGGTACCCTCTACAGCCAAGCTGTGTAAACTGGAGAAAAAATATGGGAGTTATGGCTGTGAAGATTGGGGTTTTTTTTCAGCAATACAGATCTGGTGTGAATACATAACAACACAGGATAACACAAAATAACATCAGTTGGTGAAAGCCAAACTTTCTAGCCTTGGCCGTTTGCTTATTACCTATAGCAACCTTTGCATAACAGTAACTCCCTGGAACTGAACTAAGAGAGATTTACCCTTTCCATAATACATACAGTTCCATAATTTCTTGTGGTTGTAGAAAAATATGCGCTTCTTGTGTTGGCTCTTATTTGAAGGTGAACTGCCTGAGAATACGTGTGCATGTGTGTGCCATGAAAACAATAATGAATTATACAGCTTTTTAAAGGTCATTTTTCCAAGCTAGATGCAGTGCTTAAGGCTACATGTTTTATCTTCCACTTGGATTGTAAAGATTAACTCCACTGTTGCTTGTGCTTGGTGGCTTACAGTACATGTTTCTGTTTTATTGTCTTTGCCAAATAATATTTTGAAACCAGGTAATAAAAAAGCTCATTAGATTGTAATTCTTTCTCCATAGGCCAACACGTTTACCTTTCTGCAAAAATCAATGGCAATCTGGTGATCCGAGCTTATACCCCAGTTTCCAGTGATGAGACAAAAGGTTATGTTGATTTAATTATAAAGGTAAATTTTAATTTCCTTTAATACAGATGAATTGCTTACTGGAAGGAAAGGAACTATTTCATTTTAGTGAAATAGAGTTTATTTTAATTGGTTGCCTTTCAGATAGGATGACTGCATGGCGAACTCCACCTGCTCACGAATAATGAGTTGTGTATCTGTTGCATGTCACAGAGAAATAGAAGAGGCGAGGGAGATGGAGCAGGGAGCTGGCAGTACTGCAAGAACTTCTCTGTTTTTGTTTGTGTGGGTTTTTTTTGTTTGTTTGTTTGTTTGCAATGAACAAATAGCAATTGCTCTCCCTCAGGCTGCCTTATGCTGCTATTAGTACTCACTGCTGATACCTGAAAGAAGGAACATGTTAGTAAGAACTGTCTTTTGTGACCCTAGAGAGAGAGCAAGTTGTGCTAATGGTCTTATTGAGAAAATGGGGTAAGGAAACAAGGAAAATCTTATAAACTAGGGATGCTAGATGATTTGATCCCAGGTCTTCTGGATTTTCCAGTTGTTTTCTAAGACATTTTGCACTTAGGCAAAAAATCTGGGCTTCTTTGTTCTCTCTGTTCTTCATGTTACATATACAGTGAATGGTTATTAACTACTTAATATTTGTCACGCATCTTGAAAGGCTGAAATGCTAGCATGTGGCTGAAAGCTCACAGCAAGAAAAGATGCAGTAATGCTATTTTCAGAAGGGGTGCTTACAAAAATGGGGGTAACGTAAGGTTCTTGTTGGAGAGGTGGTGAAATGAGGGCATAATCTGCTTGACACACGTTCTGACTAGCCTGGCTGTTTGCATAGGGTGTTTTACTTACTTAGTCTGCTTACTGTTGCACGGCATGACAGGTAACTGAACAAAGAATTGTTGCAATCTTTCTTCCAAATGGTAAATGTCAGACCTGCAGTGCTGTGATCTTCAGTATATCATTCTGACTCCACGAAAGCTAATGGCTGATTTCATAGAAATGCTTGTTTTTATAGGTTTACTACAAAAATGTGAATCCTAAGTTCCCAGAAGGTGGGAAGATGTCCCAGTACCTAGACAACATGAAGATTGGAGATGTTATTGACTTCAGGGGGCCAAATGGACTGCTTGTCTACAAGGGGTCAGGTACTGTGACACAAAGGTGGGAGAGCAGAAGGGAGGAACTTAATTAGTTATTATCAGAGGCGTTTGATAAACTGTGGTTTGCAGAGAAACTACTTTGAAAAGTACAAAGAGAAAATCTACGCTTTCTGATCTTGCCCGAAAGCCCATCAGAGTTGCTTATGATGGGAACAGTACTTAGTGTTTGCAGAGTAATAGCTGGTTGTTGTCTTACTCCTGGGACCATGTAATTAAATCTGAAAGATCTGCTGTTGCGTATTACTAAGAAGGCTGCACTGGAAATCCCTCAGATATGGACGTGGAGAGAGATGTTCCAGATACATGGCAGGTTGTAGCCTCAAATGCCCTCTGAAAATCTTGGCAGTGTTACTAAATAATTTATTAACTGCCAGCCAGCTCCATTTAGGTATTAAACTGGGTCTGAACTGGCCGGGAGGAAGTCGTCTGTTCAAAGAAATAATCTTTGAAGATGCTAGTAAAAGGCCACAGGATTTTGTATTCATCTTGACTGAGAGGCACTGTGCACTTAATATTCCTGCTTCAGGGGAAGCAGTGCTCAGCACTTCCCTGGATCATGGCCTTTTACAATGAATAATACACTGATGAATCAGTTACATCTCAGAGGACTTGAGTGGTGTATGTTTTACAAACGTTCCTTTCATCTCTGATTTGGTTGCTATGAAGAGTAGTAGCTAGGAGAGCTGGTTACTAGTTATAGATTTCTTTAAAGATTATTGGAGTATGTCCAGTGTCTTTTATGTATGATACTTCTCCTGGGCTTTTCTCTTGGGTGAATATAAACTGTCTGGTTTTGTAACAGTTTTAAAGTGACGATGCACTCAGGCATAGAGCAGAAATCAGCAAGGTCTTATGACAGGACAGTAAAGGCAGTCACCTAACTGACTGCAAGCAGCACAATGATCTCCTTAAATGAAAGCAAAAGACAGAAATGAAGTTCTTGATGAAAGGATGCAAGGATTTGATTATCTTTGTGGCATCTTGCTTGATGCTGATTTAATACAACTCCTTTGAAAGTGGACACACAGAAATGGCTGGATCCATGGTGTAAATGAAGATGATGAAGGTGGCCTAATAAACTTTTCTGTCGAGGCTATGGTTACCTTTAGCTATCACCAGCTTTTGCAGTTGCTGAGTGATGTAGTTAGTGATAAGGGAATTCCTAAGTCGATCATAAATGATGCTGGGTAGCTGGGAAGATGAAGCTAAGAGTGTACAAAGGCTTCTAGCCTTTATGCTCAATGCTGTGCTGAGCACATTTAGCGTGTCCAGCAGATCTGCCCTAATTGATTGGTAGGCAGTAGTAATGTATTCCCATGGAAGTTGTATCTGTTTTTGTTTAGGAGTTAACGTGTCTATAGGTTTTGAATATTTCTTCTAGGTACCTTTCTGATCAAGCCTGATAAGAAGTCTGAAGCACAGAAGAAGTTTGCAAAGCATGTGGGGATGATAGCTGGGGGAACAGGTACAACTATTCTCATCACAGCAAATGTCACTCTGGAGAATTAAGCGGTCTTCAGGGATGCTTGGGAGGAGTCTAATGTGCTATACTTTGGCAGCAGAGCGCTTCCATGAGCACTAAGCTGCTCTTTCACACTGATTGCATGTATTTGGTGTTTGGATCCATCTGAACATATTTGAAGTGTTGAGTCAGTTGTGTGTTTTAAGAGTTGTGCACTTACTGGATCTTCTCTCTTCTGAATCCTGTTATGATCAGAATCCAACTTGTATTTGTTTTTATACATGAGTGTTTGGTGACACTGAAGCATTCCGGCAGCTTGAGCTCTGTGCCGAGGGTTAGCAGCTTCTTTGTAGTTTTAGTCTCAATTTACTGTGTGGCCTCAGAGAAGTCACTTTACACAGAGCTCCAATGTCAATGACAAAAAATATTTTAGGAGAATATCCCGCAGGTGAAATCAGTGTTCTCTTATCACATCCACTAAAAACGAAAGCCCCAGAACGCAAGCACTGTGGTTTTGTTTTAATCTTCATCTATATGAAATAACAAAAACCCTTCAACTTCTGCATTTGGCACAGAGTAGAAATTCAGTGTGCAAAATAAGCTCCCACTGAAGACCAAGTGAAGGCAGCAAGAATATTGAAAGTGCAGCTTTATGTAGATTGAAATATTTGCATTTTTAACTGCTTTGTTTTGAACAGGAATAACCCCTATGTTGCAGCTGATCCATCATATCACAAGTGATCCTAAGGACTCTACAAAATGTTACCTCCTTTTTGCTAATCAGGTAAGTGTGCTGATGCATCCGTTTGTCCTTTTATGGCCTGCCTTTTTTGCTGGCTTAAGTTTTTGAAGCTGCTGTGACACAGAAAATACTGCTCTACATGCTTCATATCTTTCAGTGTCTGTCTGATCTGTAATTTTGGCTGAATGTGTATGACAAAATGTGACCTGAGATGGCGTATTTAGTATGATCAGCATAGATAGGACCAGAAAGTAGTTACTAAATAAATTCTTATTGTATTGCCTTGGATTAAAATGATTTAAGAAGGAGAAAGTGAATTAGAAAAGTATTTGCAACTATTTACCAATGCTGTATGGTGCTGTTGTAGTTTCAGTGATATTTCAGTTGTTTTGAAGATGGCTCATAGTTTCACTCATACTCCGTAATTCCTGTATTGGAATAAATTGTGAACAGATTGTTGCTCCTGCTAATCTTACTCCTTGACTGATTGCAAAGAAACAGGACTTTGTTCTGTTTAATTCTGTTAACCAGGGTTAACAGGAGCTAGTTGTGATTTAGACGTTGTTCAAATTGACATCTTTAGAATTGTGTTTAGGTGACTATTAAGTCTCATATTTGGAAGCTCTTAATCTGTAATGATAGTAGCCTGTCATGCAAAGGGAAAGTTTGAATGAGTTACCATTGCATTTGTCTTGTTGCATGCTAGGTAAGCTCACAGCAGAGGCTATCTTAAGATGTTTTAGAGCTAAATAGCAGTCTCGTTTTGCAGACAGAAAAGGATATATTGCTCAGAGCTGAGCTAGAAGACATTGCTAAGAGGCATCCTGATCAGGTCACACTCTGGTATACGCTGGACAAGCCTCCACAAGGTAGGCTACTGGTACACACTGGATGTATGCTTGCTCTTGTGAATACTGCTGCTGTTCTCATAACAGCAGTATCTTTGTGTTGATAAATCATTTTAAAGCACATATCTTTGTGCATTGAGATAGTGGGGAGAAAAGGATGCTTTGTTCACTTAAAGCAGTAGAGGTATTCAATGATACTGCTCCTTGAAACCACCTAGCATTTCTTTTTCACTTTTGTAACAACACTGCTGTCATCACCGAGTTTGTAACCTTACCAGTCTTTTCTAGAGTTTTCCAAATGTGTTGAGTAGCACAGATCTGAATAATCTGCCCCTGTACTGCTGCCCTGGGTGACCTTTCTCTCCTGGAAGGAAGCCTAATTTATTCTTCATGTTTATTCCTGGCTGATATCTAATTTGTTTAAAGCTGTCATTTATTCATAGGCATTCTTGTCTGAAAGTCTGTATAGTCCCTTTTCAGCCAGATTCTTGTTATCCATGTGCTTACTGTCCTCTTTAAAAGGAACCACAGGTTTTGAGCAAAGTGAGAGATGGGTCCCTGTCTGCTTGCAGTGATGGTGGCATAGCTTCAGCTACTTTGTGACAAAAACATACGCAGTTTAAAGAGATTTCAGACTGTACAGAGTCAGATTAATAGTTTGATGTGTTTGTTTCAGATTGGAAGTACAGTTCTGGCTTTGTCACTGCAGACATGATTAAAGCTCACCTCCCTTCTCCTGGCAGTGAGACGCTCATTCTTATGTGTGGGCCACCACCTATGATTCAGTTTGCATGTCAGCCTAACCTGGACAAACTCGGCTATCCCAAGAGCATGACATTTTCTTATTAACAGTGATGTCATCCAAGCTCTTTTTCTTAAGTAAGTATTGCATATTTTCCTACAGGAACGACTGGTATGTAACTGTGCAGCATTTCTTAATTTTGTGTGTGTGTTTTTTAATGGCATAGTTTAATTTCTGTGAGTTTTAACTTCATAGTGACCTTTCTCTACTAAGAGATGTGAAATTATTTTTCAATTATGTGGGAAGTAACTAATTCAATATGAAGTGTTACACCTGCAGTTCTAAGAAAAAAATGTGTGTAAATTGAAAAGCAGGACAGTGATAAAATGAGTTGTTTGTTGACATGATACGGTATTTGGGAGAGGGCTGTAAAAACTGGAATAGGATGTGAGCACTCTGTAAGTAATTAATTCATTCTGGTGAAGGTGAGAACAAGGAACAGTGTTTTCTCAAAACGCTGTTCTGCAGCCCTTTACAAGAAGGGCTTACATTTAAACAAAATGCCAAAATAAAACAGTATGTCACTAAAAAGCATCTAATCAAAATTTAGGTAATATGTAATTGCTTATTACTGTAATAGTAATTCTCATTCATGTGGAAGTTATTGAGAAGGATTCTGTAACATCATGCTGTTTTCTGATGGCCTGAGTGCTTGTTGTTGTGGCCATTCCCTTTGCGTAAGAGAAAGCACGGCTTCTTCCTTCCTATTGTAAGCCTTGCTGAGTTGGTCTTGCATTCAGCTGTACCTTGTCTGAGTATTCTTACCATGTAGCATTGAATTTTTAGTCATCAGTGCATGCAGTACTGCATATTCATTTTCAGGAATTAGTTCATGCTGCAATTGCTGTAAGGTCTGAAAAATCTCAAAGACAGTAGACTTGATTCTTCAGTTGCAAACAACTGTGCTTACTAAATATTTTAATTCCTCTGAAGCAAAATAAACCATTTAGTAGTTAAAGCTTGACTTAGCGAAGTTGTAGTAATAATGCAGAGGAAGTCACAGACATTCACAACTGTGATTCTGTCACTGATAAGAGATCAGCTACCTCTGTTTCTGTTAGAATCATTCCACAGTCAGGAAGTAATAGAAGAATATTCAGAATTTATTCATAACAGTCAAAGGTGTAGGCATGTATGCCTGTGTTATAACTAGGATTTCTTACTATATTAAAAAAGGAGATATTCACATCAAGCTTAGCACAACGCTACAGTGAGTTATAAATACTCCCTCAGAAGAAAAAGGGAAAGCTGCTTGGAATAGCTCAGTGAGACTAAGGCTGTCCCTGCCAGAGCAGTTGTTATAGTATTATGACTAGGATGAATCTGATCAGTTAATCTGACAGGGTATTTCGTGTGTCTGTTAGTTTATGCCCACACTAGTGCTGACTGCACTACATTGCCAGAGCAGAGGGGGCATGTTTAGTTTGTTCACGTGCAGATTCATGTATCGTTCCTTTGGATTTTTATTTACTTAATTCTTCAGTGACTGAAAAAAAAATCAGCCTTAATTTTAACATTTTGGGCATGCTCTGGACAGCACCTGAGATTTCCTGTTTATTTTGGAAGGTTTGTGGGTAGGAGTAGCCCACCCTTGGGCGTATGTTAATAGATAAACCAACATCTCACAGCAAGAAAGGAGGAAGTAATGCAAACCATGTATATTCATAAAAAGCCTTTTCTTTCCAGTTGGACGGATTTCTTTTTTGGCATTTCTCTGTATAAGATACAGTGTTAGTTATTAATTACCTTATTAATACATAAAAGGCATGTGCTATCAGATTGCACAAGCAGTTGCAGCTGTGAACACAACACTTTCACCCTTGAACTGCCCCTTGCGTAAGTAGGCAGAAGCTGCATTTCCCTGTCACTGTACTGCTGTCTTACCTACCTCCATGTGATTGCTACAGATTTATTGTGTCAAAAGAAACAAGTCTGCTTTACTATAGTCCTTGATGTGCCCTAGTCATGTTTTACATGTGACAGAGCAATAGCGTTGATTTCCCACTGCTAAATAAAACACTATGTGAAAATCTGCCTGTAGCTGGAATGAAAGGAGAACTGAAAGTGTAAAATAATATGACCAGTTCTTATGCAAATATTACAGTTTCTACTACCAGCTCCAATCCTAAAGGCTGTTTACAGGCATATGTTTAATTAGCTTTAACCTCTTCTAGCTCTTATAACTTATTCCTTGTCTTCCTGAAAACTGTGCTGCATCTTATATCAACCAGGTATTATGCTGAGAGTGTTCTCTCTGAACTGTGTGGATTGTTCAGAAGGCTTATGAGCACCCTGATGCTTCCACATGTGCCTCAGTACTAACCATTTTAGACAAAACAGGAAACTACAGAAAGAGCCCTATCAACACTTCAACTTCAAGGCCTACAATTTAAAGTAATCACACAGAAAATTTTGTTGCAGAGTACAGCAAGCATCATCCTAGTATTCTAGTTATATTTTGCATTAATTATTTTGCATTAGTTATTTTGATTGTGCTTTGAGTTAGCTAAAGATTTGTGAACAAGCCATCTTGATTGTCACTCTCCTGCAAGGGCTTGGTTGGATACAATTACAGTTTATTTTTCCTATTCTAAACCATGCTTATTGAACAACAAAAAAGGGCAGGGTATATTCTAGTGAAAGGGGTGAGGGTCCTTCTATGGCAAAGTATCTCTGGCATGACTGCAGTAATAATGAGCCATGACAGGTGTGCTTGCCAGCACATCTGAATTGCTAGGTGGCTCTGATTAGTCCATGTGGTATAATAGAATATTAATGATTCCTGCATTACAACTTAATTATAAAAATTAAAAAAATATATATAAAAGACTTTTTCTATAGCAGTACATAAACATACCATGTAAAAGATGATAAAATATAAGGGTAAAACATACTGGCTTTCCAGACTCTGCATAAAAAACAACTGTGTAGCACTTCTTTCAGCACCTCTTTTACGTTATATCATATGGAAAGAGTGCAGAGGAGTTACCTGTGAAGTGTTGCCCTGCTAGCAATACTAAATACTATGTGGTGTGTGTCACTAGAGGAAAAGAGGTAAAGCTTTTCTGTACCACAGCATCAGGCTTCTCCTGGCCTGCCCCAGGCAGGCATGAGGTATTAGTGGTCTTGGTCACGCTGAAATATCATCTCCAATCTTCTAAGGTAGGTGTTAAAAATCTGCTGTCGTTTAGCATTTCATCTTGGCTTAACATTGTCTGAAAAAAATCACAGCAATATTAAAACAAGTAGACATAGTCTACTCTATGTCCATAGTTTAGAGAAATAACTATAGTTTAGAGAAATCCAACTGTAATGAGATCAGATTCACAACAGAGGGGGTTAGAGCCACGCAAAATTAAATTGGAATCTCCCAAATGGCTGCTTTAAATAGCAAAAGTAGATATTTTCACACAGATGTGTGGCATTGTTCATACACCTTCAGTCAATTAACTAATTTAACAAAAATGGACCAACATGGAGTCAGGAGTACATAGTTATTAATTTCCCTGTGATATTTTCTCTCTTGTACATCTTCAAGTCTTACCTCTTTGCCAGTCCTTGGGAGGGATGCCTCTTACTGTGTCACAGAGATAAAATTGGTGAAAACTTAGAAGATGCTGAAGTGAAACTTAATTTCTAGTAAAAGTGATTCTTTTGTTGAGTGTCCATGCATGCATAGAGCATGCAGCCAAGCTATAAAGGAGGTGCATAACAAGAGTAGTGACCCACTTACTCTTAACCACCACTAGCAATACCCAAATTTCTCTGAGTTGTAGCAGATTACTTTTGTGACTTCAAAAGGAATAAAATTGGTACATACCGTAAGATTGCTTATGCCTTGAGAAAAAGCCCCTATTTGCTTTACTGTTCCTTCTGAGTGTTCCATCTGTAAAAGTATTCAGCAGCTAATTCAATTCAGACAGTATGTGCAATGTTATTCACTGTACATGCATCATGGGGAGGTACCTCTGCCTTGACAAAGGGAGATGCTGTAGTTTTAAAAGCTAATTTCAGCACATTTCCAAGTTGCACGTGAATAAAAATGTCTCCATGCTGTAGAGTGTATGAAAATGCATTAACAAAGGATTAAATCCTGATTAAGAGAACTGATTTATGGAACCCGATCTGTAATTTAGACAAGAAAAGGAATAGCATAAATAACTATCAGCCAAGAGTAATATTTTCCAGAAGATGAAACACGTAATTCCAGTAGTAGAACTGCCTCCATAGGCAAGCAATAACAATCCCACCTCTGCTTACACAAAAAGGCTATCAGTACTAGGGCACTGAGGTTTTGCTGTGTGACCACACTGGAAATCAGGCTTAAGTTAAAGGCCACTCTGCTAGTGAAAAATAGAATATTTCTGTAACGTTTGAATAGCTCTGTGTTGTAAGCTGTCAGCTCAGAGTTAATGCATTTCCTTTCAACTCATAATTGTGTAAATGGACATCCGTACTAAATTAGTGTGTATATTTGATTGTCAGGGCTTACTACTGTCACCATGTAGGAGCAGCTCTGGATTTTTACTACGGTGCACACTAAAAAAGACAACAGTTAGATAATGAAAACGAATGAGATGTTAGATGCAGTAAACCATGCAAATGACAGAATGACTTCCACAGGATTAGCAACTTTGTGGCCATTCTCTCACTGAGTTTAAAATGTTTCACTATGGTCACTGGAATTAGAAGGCTGTACCCCAGCTGCCTCTTTGTGGGTCTTGCATGTTGTCAAGTCCACACAAACCTCTGGTAGCTCCGTTTTTCAGGGTTTACATTCCTTTACACAACAGCAAAGTACAGTAGAGTTTGGTGGGTTTTAATTTTCATCATTTATGCAATGTCTGGACACAGTTTCATTAAGCAGTTCACTACTAAATGACAAAAGTGAATTATTTAAGTGTTGGTTTATTAATAATTTTGTTCATTACTGAGGCCATTGTTTCCATGTCTACTGTTTAAGCCTAACTACTTCCCATGTACATAATGCAGTTGGAATCCTTGATTAATCTGTTAGAAATCTATGATCCAGTTGTACTTTAATATATAACTCGATAGTTCTGTACAAATTAGTCCAAATAAACTTATCACATTAAAAACTGCCCATATAAAGAAAAAAGGTGTGTGCCATACTCAGTTTATGAAAGCCGGAAGTACAAAAGTCTTCTGTTTACTGCAGCCTCTACCTTAATTGCCAAAATACACTGACTGTGGTAGTGTAAAGGTGTCAGGTTCCTGAAAAAGGGCTTGAAGATGAATGAGTTCATTGTTATGTTGATGGAAAAAAAAACCAAAAAAACAAAAAAAAAACCAAACACACCTTGACATTCTTAGTATAGAACTCTTTCAAGTGTCCATAGCCAGTACTTTCTCAATGAGTTCATGCAGATACAGCAAATACTGTTATACGCTAACATTTGATTATTTGCAAGCTTTGGAATGCAGGAAGAGGATGAGATGAGAATGGCATCAGTCTGTTTGTCCCACCTGATCCAGTTCCCTATCAGTGAGTGGACTGAGGCCTTTGTATCCAGTGTAGCTCTTCTGAGTACCATTTGTAGCACCTGGGTTTGTATCCATAGGACAAACATAGTCCGTTGATTCATCAAATTTCTTTTTTCTTAAATTTCCAAAATGTGAAAATCCAAGTTTCTTTGGCTAAAATAAAAAGAAAGCAAGTATTAAACATGAAAAATAAGGTTATTCTTTAAACATTCAATATCCTTTCCTTTTTATTTATTTAGGTACTGTAATCCTTCAAATTGATAGATTCAGAACTATATACATTGAATTGTTTACAAAGTGGGGAGTTAGAGTTCATTTTAAGTAAGTTCAAGTAAGTTCCCTTCTAAGAAAAGAGGAGATTGCATGCTCATTTCAGAAACAAATTTTAAAAGTTAACTGCAAATTAAATGCCATGGTATCTAGAGTTAAGAACAACGTAGCACTGCTTCTACAACAGATCTTTCCCCACTCACATATGTAAGTTCTGTATTTTCTTTATGAGAAGTGAAGGAGTAAGGCTGAGATTCTGTAATATCTTGTTTTGAAAAGCAGCTCATACCCGAACTTTGGCAGTGGTGGTCAGAGGTGTGTATGCTGTTGACTCCGTTATGTCCCTTTTTTCTTGCTGTGTCTCTGGCCCAATTAATGCATTAAAATTGGTTGTTAGGTGGCGTCGCAGTAGGGTCTTCTGAGGTGGAATATTCAGCAGCATTGCCAGTGTGTCACCGTTGAAGCGAGGTTCAAGAATCTATTAAAATTGGGTTTGTTAGGTTTTTTTTAATAATATGGTTAAATATTTGCAATAGTAAATCATTATGGTCCTTAGCAGAAGGATTTCTTCATTCCAGCTGTCCACATTAGGCATTTTTAAGTCAGTAGTATTACGACTTTCACTAGGTTTGAATAGGAAATGTGTGGAGTTAGACATTAAAAAATGCAGAGTGTAACCAGACAAACGCCAAATTATATTTATCATCAACAGGGTTGCTTTGGGGATTTTTGAGCTCTTCATTTTTTTTTTTACTACTGTATTATTATTCTAAAAACAAACTTAATCTTAGTACAATTTTTTTTCTATTTATTTTTTTCAAAAAATCTGCAGCACATCAGCATCACAGTATTTCAGAACTCTTGGCTTTTCTAAGCTACAAGTTGTATTTTGGATCAGAAAAACTCTTTTCAGGCAAGACAAATGTGAGTTCAAAACAGTTATTTCCTGTGGCAGGGTGTTAGCATAATTTTATTAAAGCTGCTCCAAGGGACACTCAGCAATAGAGTAATTTTCTCACAGTACAGGTTGTTGTTCTCTAATGTACTACTGTTGCTGTTAAGCATACACAGCTCAGCATTGATATCTTAACAGTTGCTTTGCTATTTAAATTTTCTTTTGTAAAATTAATACGTACAGATGCAGAAGCTTTTTAAAATGCCTGATCATGCTTTTATTCTGCAAATGTCCACTTGTGTTTCTTGCTACGTGACCAGAACAAGATAAAGTAAGGCTTGCAATACAGTCTTGTCAATTCTTCATAGATACGTAGTAGGATGTTAAAAAGAATTCTTACAATGAGGCCACCGTGCACTCCACTTCCTCGGAGGTTTGGTGCATATTCTGCCAAATCAACTGATCTGAGCCATTCCATCACTCTGTGATTGGACCACTGCACCACTTCAGAAGGTGAAACATTGCTCTGTTCAAGTAACCAGAAAAAATGGTGACAATACAGCCTGGTCTGTCACAGCGTGTTCACAAAATGAATCTTGAGTTTAGATGAAAACATTGTTCCCTTCTAAACACAGAGGAGCATTTCCTCTTTCTGTTCAAGGCATCTCTTAAACATCCTCTAATCTGGTGGTATGTATTAGTGTAGGACAGACTAAACCTATGTACAGCATCAAATTCTAAAATAAGAGGACACATGCTAAATGTAAAAAAAAAAACAAACATTTTGAGAAGAGCATTCTTAACAAGGCTGTCATAGTATCACTAAGAATAAGCTCTGGTAGGTAGAGTGAAAACAATATGCAGTCTTATAATTCAATTAAGGCAGCCAAAAAAGAGCATTCCAAATAATTCGCTCGAAAGTTGAATTAACGTAACTGAGAAAGTAATTTTAAAAGAAAGATGCATAAGATTCAACTAAGTAAGTAGCTCAATCACTTGTGAACTGAGCAGGTTTTTATTATCAGAGAGGACATGTTATATTCCAGAACAGGAATGCAACACAGCTTCTGCTTTAGAGGCAATTCTGGAGGCTTGCCAATGTGACTCCCATTTATAAGAAAGGTCGTAAGGAGGATCCGGGGAACTACAGGCCTGTTAGCCTGACCTCGGTGCCAGGAAGGTTATGGAGCAGATCGTCTTGAGGGAGATCATGTGGCATGTGCGGGGTGACCGGGGGATCAGGCCTAGCCAGCATGGGTTCATGAAGGGCAGGTCCTGCTTGACCAACCTGATCTCCTTCTATGATCTAGTGACCCATCTGGTGGATGAGGGAAAGGCTGTTGATGTGGTCTACCTAGACTTCAGCAAAGCCTTTGACACTGTCTCCCACAGCATTCTCCTGCAGAAGCTGGCATCCAGAGGCTTGGATGGATACACTCTTGGCTGGGTAAGGAGCTGGTTGGAGGGCCGGGCACAGAGAGTGGTGGTAAATGGAGTCAAATCCAGCTGGCGACCGGTCGTGAGTGGTGTTCCCCAGGGGTCGGTGCTGGGGCCTGTCCTCTTCAATATCTTTATTGATGACCTCGATGAGGGCATCGAGTGCACCCTCAGTAAGTTTGCAGATGACACCAAATTGGCTGGAAGTGTGGATCTGCCTGGGGGTAGCGAGGCCCTACAGAGGGATCTGGAGAGCTGGGCTGAAGCCAATGGGATGAGTTTCAACAAGGCCAAATGCCGGGCCCTGCACTTCGGCCACAACAACCCCAGGCGACGCTACAGGCTTGGGGTGGTGTGGCTGGAGGACTGCATAGAGGAAATGGACCTGGGGGTATTGATTGATGCTCGGCTGAATATGAGCCGACAGTGTGCCCAGGTGGCCAAGAAGGCCAATGGCATCCTGGCTTGCATCAGAAACAGTGTTGCAAGCAGGAGCAGAGAGGTGATTGTTCCCTTGTATTCAGCACTGGTGAGGCCGCACCTCGAGTACTGTGTCCAGTTTTGGGCCCCTCACTGCAAGAAAGATATTGAGGCCCTGGAACGTGTTCAAAGGAGGGCAACAAAGCTGGTGAGGGGTCTGGAACACAGGGCTTATGAGGAGAGGCTGAAGGAGCTGGGAATGTTCAGCCTGGAGAAGAGGAGGCTCAGGGGAGACCTCATTGCTCTCTATAACTTCCTGAAGGGAGGTTGTAGTGAGCCGGGGGTCGGCCTCTTCTCTCGTGTCATTAGTGATAGGACCAGGGGGAATGGCTTCAAGCTACAGCAGGGGAGATTCAGGCTGGACATTAGGAAGTATTACTTTTCAGAAAGGGTGGTCAGGCACTGGAACGGACTGCCCAGGGAGGTGGTGGAGTCACCGAGCCTGGGGGTGTTCAAGGAAAGGCTGGATGTTGTGTTGAGGGACATGGTTTAGTAGGAGCTATTGGGAGTAGGTGAACGGTTGGACTGGGTGATCTTTTAGGTCTTTTCCAACCTTGGTGATTCTATGATTCTATGATTCTATGAATTCCCTAAAAGCTGTGATTGAGGTATTACTGTTCATGGAGTAATAATAACAGAGTAATTAGTGCTTGCATAAATGAAGTTACTTAAACATACTTTTACCTCCTCAACTGGTCGTCTGCGTAGACAGTGGGGGTTAAAACTGTTGATGTGCAGCACATGAATGGCACACTTAATACTCAGATGATGCAGCTGACTGGTGACTTTTAGAAAGAGAAGGTCGTTCTGCAAAGGAGAGAGTCTTTTAAGCAGCACAGAATACATTCAAAAATAGTACTTTTGCCAAGAAGAAAGATTTCAAGCTTTGTACGTAGTGTTTGGTTTATAGTATTGTACCATATTAACATGGTTAAAAATAGGAGGAGAGTTTATAGCCAGTTAAATAAAACCAAGGCTCATGGACAGTTTTTGATTATGCTGCAGTGGGATCACAGAAGCTAGCAACTCATACCTGGCATGGACCAGTAGAGATCATACTTCTGTGGCAAAGGTTCTGCAAGCAGCTTAGACATGGTTCTGTTTTTGACTACTGCTAAATTATGTTACTGTGCTGTGATGAAAATGCAAGAACATTTTTCTAAACCTGGGCAGGGAAGCTGTACAAGTAACTTCCTTTAGGAGGAAGTTTTTCACTCAGAGGGTGGTGACACACTGGAACAGCTTGCCCAAGGAGGTTGTGGATGCCCTATCCCTGGAGGCATGTAAGTTCAGGCTGGACGTGGCTCTGGGCAGCCTGGTCTGGTAGTTGGTGACCCTGCACATAGCAGGGGGGTTGAAACTACATGATCATTGTGGTCCCTTTCAACCCAGGCCATTCTATGTTTCTGTAAGTAAACCTAATATGTACTGTGTTGTTTGCTGCTAATTTGATGAGAGCTGTACAAGTTACTGGATTTGTTCTTTACCTTTAATTTACCTAATGTTGTTGATAACTTAGTGAGGAGAACAAAACATTCCAGAAGCTGTATGTAAAATAGGTCATTTTACCATCAATTATTTTGTATGCTATTGAAAGAGAAACGTCTTGCCGAAGTCAGCTGTAACACTGTATTACTAGTCCTAAGGTGCATAAAACAGGTAATCTTGCACTAAACAGTACATAGAAGTTCCTACCTGCACTGTTTCTGGTTTGCAAAAAAAAAAAAAAAAAAAACAACCTTGTAATTCTTTGCTCACTCTGAAATTCAGAGTTTGGCAAAAAAAGATTTTAGCTTACCACAGTTAAGTACTGCAACATTCTCCCATCAACTCTGGACTCATGAAACTGGTCTTTGTACTGAGGTAAACCAATATCATCAAGCCAGCCTGTAGATAGAAGAACAATGGTGTACCCAAATTTGTATCAGGGAGAATGAAGCCAGCTTCCTCTGAGGCACTCCAGTAGCTCATTCTACCTATTCACTTTCCAAAGGACAGCCTCTTATCGGGAACCTTCCAGCAGCCTACAGCCAGCTTTGTCAACAGTACCTCTGCTGTATTTTAAGTATGTACTTTCTGCAGTGTAATTTAGCTCTTGCTAGACCGAGACCTCTCACCCCTATTTGTATTCCTTCCCCCTCAAGAAGGATGGGCTGCCTGAGACACGTGCATGTTTAAGCAGTCACCAGCCATCTTTTTAAGAGCGCTAAGTTTAAACAGGACAAGTTATTTCATGGAATGATGATTTTTGTGTTGTTCTGAACATTCAAATAGGCAGTTTTATAGTATGAACTTTCCATGGGAACTCTATCGTTCAGATTGAAGAAAAGTTGTGGAACAATTTGTGAAATGTGGATGCCATCATCAGATTCTTACATGATATTTATTAAATTTTCCACCCAGTGCTGTTACACACTTGAGATTGTGCTGAAAGACCATACAGTTTATCGGAGAGAAAAATTCATCTGATGACTGATCTGAAAATACTTCCGTTTTTTGACTGCTATTTCCCTATAGTAAAGAAACACAGAATTTTCTGAAGAATTTTTCACTTACGCGTCACCCAGATATGATCGAGTTGTGCAGACTTCTCATCTTGTTTTGTGTTTATTGATTTAATGGCCAAAACTAATTTCTTCCTGTGCAGTGGGTGCTTTATTCCCATTTCCTGTAATAATAACCATTAACAAATAGTTTGCTTTGCCTCTGGCCCTCTTCATCTCATTAAACATCTATGAAAACATTTCAAAAATGTAGAACTGCCTATTATTGGTAGGGGCCTAGTTATACAGAAGCAACTGGAGTTTGCTTAAGTGAAACAGGTACAAATATTACCTTTTCCATGTCCTGAGGTGTCGCAGTTAACAGTGTATGGCCTGAAGTCACCCACTGCCGGGCAAAAATGACGTACTGCCCAAGACCAAAGTCCTCAAGCCAGTTACAAACTCTTTCAGTACTCCACTGAGCAAATGGAGCATTGTAGTCACTGAAAAATAAAAGAACTCCTTGAAATTCATAAAGGAAAGATGATGGAAATTATGAGAAAGACCATCGCAAACTAGAGGAGATACTATAGGCCAGTTTCTAGCACGCTTTATTCTGTGCAGTAATCAGCTCTAGCAGCCATTCTTGCAATACATGCTGTGGTGTGAGTATCCTCTTAATTTGACTGCCCAGCTTCTTTTTCTGGTCATTTTTAGCAGGGCAAGAAGAGAAGGATAAAAGTTTCAAATAGAAATGGGAAAGGACAGAAAGAGGTAATTGCTGAATCTTCATGTCTGCAGATATTCCTACAGGAGATGATGAGAAATTTTCGGAAGACATTTTTTTGCTGCTACCTGCAGTTGAGGGAGTGCAGATAAGCAAACTGCTTGGGTTACGCTTTCTACCAGAGAAATTCTTTCCAGTTGTAGAATTCCATGTGTAATTAAGTATGTTAATGCATATTTCACAAAAGGAACATTTTACCGTTCAGTATATTTAACAATACCATATAATAATCTGTGTTAAAAAAAAAAAAAAAAAAAAAGAAAAAAAATGTTACTTTTTTTGGCCTTTGGTTTCCTTTGATCTGGATAACCGAGGTCCGGCTGTTGCACGGAGACCACCCCTTCGAAACTCTGCCAAACCCAGATCGTCTGCAGGGAAGTTGCCAGACTGAGTTCTTCTTATTCTTTCAAAACAAGAGCGCCAAGACAGTACTGTTAGTGTCCAGCAGCAAAGTGTTTCATACGGAAACTATAATGACAGCTGGAAACTGTATTAATCTCCCCGTAGAGCACAAACATCTGATTCAGGCAGCAGCTGATGAAGGAGCAGGCAAACACTGTCTAGACTTATCTCAGAAAAGAAAGAAAAGCTTTGCAAAGCAGCCATGACCCTTCAACTCAAATAATAATTCACAGAGGTCAGACTTGTAAATGGCTGCAGTTCTGAAGTAGATAAAAGGCACACAGTAAAACTTGGTATTCTCAACTGTCAGCATAATTACACAGGAGAACATATTATTTCTTCCAATAGCACGGCACTCTGAACCTTACCATCCGCTTTCCTCCAGCCATGTATACCAAGAGACACAACTACCCGTACAATCAGAGAGCTGCTTTCCCTCCTCTTCCTGAATTTTATTTTACTCTTGCTGTATCTTTCCATGAGAACCAAATGAATTCTCAGTTTGAAATGCTGCGATGAGGAACTAAAAAACATTATCTTACTTTCCCCAGATTTTCTTGATTCCTTTTGGACTCTTTCTGTTTTCTGGAGACAGTGGAGAGTGTGGACCTGAATCCATTCCCAAAGAAAGAGGTGAAAGATCATCTGAAACTACTGTACCGTCCGTGTTCTCTGTTTCTCCTGGGTTAACAACAATAATTGACAATAATTAGTACAAAATGTGACAGGGTTGTTATACGGCAGACTAATACTTAAATTAAAAAAATATACTAATACTTAAATTAAAAAAATATAATAAAGTACAGATACCTATAAAAATATTCTTGTATAAAAATAATCTTAAAAAAAAAAAAGAAGAGTAGTTGTACCTTTGATACAAGAAAAGGGTATTATAATATTGTAATTTCAGTGTATTTTAAAACCTTAATTCCTGATCTTGATCTGCTGTTGCGTTTCCTATTTTTAATACCAAAATTCATCCATCAAAATCAGTGGGAATTTTACTGTTGACTTCAGTGAAAGTAAAATAAGACCAAGAATAAATATCTTTAAAAAAAAAAAAAAAATCCCATCTGAATGCTATACAGCTAAAGATTTTCTTTCATTTCAGTATTACACTTAAGGAGTTCAGTCTGGATTGCCCACTCAGTGTCAGTATTTTACAGAGAAGACGAAGGGAGGGAAAAAGGAAAGGAAAAAATAAGCAGCAATATTCACGTTAAAAGTTGCATCTTGTTTGGATACGATACCTAGCACGGGTGCACTGACACTCCTGATGCGATCTTCCAGTCCCAAGAAGCAGAAAGTCAGATGAAGAAGCAAAGAAGATATAAATCACCAGCAAAATAAAGTTACAGAAGAGCAAAGTGGTAAGCTAGTAGTAAGCTAGAGTAAGTAGTAAGCTATTAAAAGCAGAAACAAAAAGAAAAGAAGCTGTTATGCTTGACATCAAAGGGATTGTGCATTGGTGTGCACAAGCCCCAGGAATCCTGGACCAGTCAAAGAGATAGGAATGATCATTTATATTTCATCAATTCTTTGGCAACTGTAACACATCAAGCATATACTACTGAAATAAAGCAATGTCTAAAACCACATCAAATTTCTGTGAAATACAGAACTGGAGGTATAATGAGTTTACTGCATGTGGAAGAAACAAACCAGACTCTGGTAATTCAGTGCTTTTAAGAACTCATTGCTTGTTTCTGGAATAACATTCTGCTTTACAAGATCCCCCATCCTTTGATCCTGCATGTAAAAGACCTAACAGCATGGCCAATAAATTATCTGCTGACTATTAATGAGGATCTACAACGCTGTGATCACAGAAAAACTACAAAAAAAAAAAAAAAAAAAAAAGAAAACAACAAAAACCAACAAAACAATCCACCAGCAATCTATTGAAATCTTTAAGCTATGCTACTTAGTGGTCTTAGGACCATGTGGCCTTACCAAACAAATGAAAAAACCATCACCAAAAAAATCCACAAACCAGCAAACAGCTGTGACCCCACAACAATTAAAACAAAACAGATTTTTCCCTGAAATGTGTACATTACTGTTGGTTATACTGTAAAATGTCACACATTAAAATGTAGCGAGAAGGGAACTGGGAGACTTTTCTTTTTTAACATACAGTCTAGCATAAATGTGCGGTTTTGTTTCCTTGTTTTTTAAGAAAGCATCAACAAGCTCAGGATCACTGCAAGTAGACAAAAAAGAGGACCTTATTCCTAATATGAATATGTTTGGATCACCAAAAATTCTAATTTTCAGTAATAGATTTTTTGGCTTTTAAGAATGCTGCCTTCCAAAAAAAAAACAAAAACCACTAAACCAACAAAAAGTCTCTTCATTACACTGCCACTGGTATTCACAAATTATAACATCTGGTGCAAAAAGAAAAACAAATGCTCTAAAGTAAATCTAGTCTTTAGTCTCTAGCAAACTTATCTAAAATACTTATATATTGTTAAAGGAGCAGAGCTTTCCTCACTGAATCATCTGAACTGTTCAGTTCATTCATGTAACACAGCAGGTTACACAGTGTGCTATTTCCCCTTGTTGGTTTGCTTTTTTGCCTCTTCCATAACCCCCATGCTGCCTCTGAGAGGCATACATACTCAGATACAGATACATACTCAGGCCCAGGATGCTGTTGTACTCAGTGTCATTCGTGTCAGGTGCATTTGACTCATTATATGTCCCCTGGTCTCCATTCTGCGTGGGTCGAGGAAGTTTTCCTGGCAAAGTTTGATATTTGCTGCCTTTCACAAGTGGCTTACTCTGTAGATTTGTTTTTTTAAGAGGAGAAAAAAAAATAAAAAAAATCACTCATTGCATTTAGAGTCTGGCACACAATAATTTGAAAGTTTAGAAAAAGTATTTTGCAGTTTACAGTTCTAAATGACACCACCACCCTTCATGGTCCTTTTTACAGATACTCAATTTAAGTCTAATAATCAGCTGCCAAGAAGTTCTAGGTAAGAGCCAGCCTTCTCTTCCCTTCTTTTCCCCTTCACCCAGACTGTAAATTATATTAAACAATAATATATACTGAATATTTCCTAGTTTCCTCATAAATATTTTTCTAGCCAGCTCCGCTTCGTTCAGGACCCTGACACCACATAACAATTCAGTCCTTCCAAGGCCAACTTTGATAGCAGCATAAATGCATTTAGTCATTTCCCAGCCCATTCTTTGCTGTCACATTTTTCCTTTACACTTCACCCAACTGCCTGTGTTTTGGTCTTACAGATGTGTCGCAGTTTAAGCCAAAGGCATTTTGATAACTCAAATTTGGTCAGACATTTTGCCCATCAGTATTAATGACATACAAAGAATCAACAATGAATTCAGGATACAGAAATTTAACTTTTGTAAGCTAAGTTACAGGAATAGAGAGTTTTTTTTCTGGAAAAGAAATGAGCCTGCACCTCCAATTATGGCAGAGGTGTACATTCAACGTGTGATTTGAAAGCAGCACAAAAACAATTAGTATTCCCCTATTTAGTAACATCATTTAATTGTTTTGGAACACCTCGATCAAACTTGTCTGGGACAGGATAATAATTACTGGTCTATCCATTCTTGTTTCAAGGCCAGAAGTGATTTCAGTGATTCTGTAATCACAGAGCAGATTCCTCAGTTTCAGGGACTGTGTGTCTGACCCCTGCTCCTGTTTTGCCAACTGCAGTTTCACAACTGTCCCAGCTTGTACCAAAGATTACATGAGTAGAGAAACTTCATACTACTTTTATCAAAGATTAGCACTGTGTTTCCTGATGCTGACTGACTTCCAACCTTAGATACCCAAAAAGCTTGGTTGAATAAAAAACACCACCACCATCACACAGAAAAAAGAAAAAAAAAAACCACTACCACAAACCAAACAACTCTTCAATCCTTACCCCCACTTTCAAATTTTGTCAGGTAGCTGGACTTTACAAACATTTTAAAAGGGAAAATGAAGTGAAAACACAGCCACGACATCACAGCAGATAAACGTTAAAAGAGTTTACAGTTAATATACCTCTTGTTCTACAACAGGCTGTACTGGTTTTCCATCTACATACTATGGAGTTGCAGGGAGAGTAATTTCAAAGTTTTATGGAAAAAAGCAACAGACAAATGTTAGTATTAATATACATACACAAAACATCAACTGTAGCTTGATTACTATAGTGATGCTATTTAATGCTATGACAATATGTTACAAGGTCTGATATCTCCTCATTTTCATTATGTATTTAATATTAAAAGCATAGGTTCAAAAGATTACAAAATTTGTGCCCAGTTTACGTTCTGCTATTAAAAGGATTTCAGTATTTCTGGGCTTCTGAGGGTTTCCATTGGATGTGCATTGAGCTGGGAATGTGACATTCACATAACACTTGAAACAATGTGAAAGTGACTGACATAAGAGAACATAGGCAATGCTGTATGTATCCAGCTGAAACTATAAAAAAAGAGCTGTGGTAAAAATGAAGTGATAAAAAAAAAAACAAACAAAACAGCATGGGGAGGTCAGAATCACCAGAATGTTTCATCTTACTGCTGGATGTAATTAAAATTTGAATCTTGTACAAAAAACAACTCCAGAAATGGTGTCGTTAGCACAAGTTCCACTGGACTCAGTGAAAGGAGCAAATTCTGGTGCTGAGTCAGCAAAATAATCTTTGTTTTGGCTAAGTTGTGGCTAATTCATATTTAGTCAATCACTTATGTGCATAGGGAGGTCTGTTTCACTAAGAACCTCGTACCTAAATGAGGGCACATAATTTAAATGCCCTGATAAACATGGGGCTCACTGGCTATGGTTGTGCCATATCTTTGATTTCAGCCTGATCTTATCATAATGACAAAGGTTTTTCAACTTAAGACAAAAATAATTTAAAAGTTATGAAAAGAAAGCAGACCTTCATAAATTCCACATGGAGTAAAGTGTTAGTTGTCATTCTGTCGGTCCTGTGTGTGACCACACTCAAATGCAACATAAATTTCAAACATTTTATTTGGTGATTATTGTTTTTAGACATTTAAGAACAAATTTAATGAAATTTGAAGTAGGTAAACAATCATATTACTAGGGAATGTGGTTATTATCCTTTTTAAATGGCATTACTAAGTATGCATAATTCGTGTTAAGCCTAATTTTGGTACAGAAAATGTCAATAATAGTTTCACAGATTTTATGTGTAGAAAAAGCTTCAGTGTACACGACAAAAAATAAAACCTCTGGACCATAGCATAAGGAGATTTTGTAAATTGTGAAGTCTTAATTCTGGAATTAAGCCATAGAATTAACAACAGTGCTCCTGTTTTTAATGAAAACAGCATTGCTGCCATCTTCAATAATGCCATTTATATTAGAAGTCAAAGTTAGGGAGTAACACTCATAGTTATGTGCAAACACTCAAAAAGAAATCCTATGTGAAAATGCATGCCCATTCTCAATACTTTTTGATTGCTTTCAAGTTCTGTTGTCTTAACATTTCAGCAAACAGGAAATCAAAATTATCTTAAAAACACCTTTCTTAAACAAAATGTTATACAGTTCAACAGAATGGCTCCTCATTATAGTTATAGTTATACTTCTCTTAAATACTTTTATCATAGAAATTCTGAGTACAAATAAACCAACCTTTTCCAGGGATTCACTCTGCAAGTCTTCTAAGCTACTTGACTTTTTTTTCTGTGGAACCCTTAAAATTATAAGAGGCAAAAAGACCATAATAAATATAATATGTTTACATCACAACTCTCTCATGATAGTTGTTGTATATCACAATTTCTTTGTCTAGCAGATAACTCACAAATAGATTTGTTTGTACCCTAAAACTCACAGTACTGGGTTTAAAACATAGTGCTGACATAGATGAAGTCAGAAAAGTGAAAAAGACTTTTAGTCAACAATGAAAGGCAACAAGTACAGTGACCAAGTTCAAACCATAAATGACTTTTTAGAAGCTCTGAAGCAAAAGTAGATGTTAATAAAGCTCTGCGAACACCATGCAACACTAAAGGCTTTTAAAAAGATTTTTAAAATGGAAGGAAAAAAGTTGTTGAAGAGCAGAGAGGACTAGATGCAACATTCAAACAGATTAAATAATGTAGACTTCAGACAACCTGCACAAAAAGTAAGAATAGCCTTGCCTGATTTCCGTAGTTTTGTGCGTCACTGGAGATAGCAAAGCTGGTGACAATTCTCCTGCAGAGGCCTATGCAAAATAGAAGTATCATGCCTGTAACTCTGGTGTCTACATCTGAACCTACAGTGAGGGTGGTGAGGCACTGCCACAGGTTGCCCAAAGCTGTGGTGTAAGCCCCATCCCTGGAGACACTCAAGGCCATGCTGGATGGGGCTCTGAGCGACTCCACCTAGCAGTGGGTGCCCCTGTTCACTGCAAGGGAGTTGGACCAGATGGCCTTTAGAGATTCCATCAAATTCTAAAGATTCTGTGATTACCAGTAGGCACAAAAATTTAGCAAGGTCCAAACCCGTGTCTGCATTACCTCTGCTACAACAGAGAGACCAAGACAAACAACTTGAATTTACAGCAGAACCTACTTCTAAGACATCTTTACTAAGTACCTCTGCTTTAAATACTTCTCCTTGAGGATTATTCAAAACATTCAACTTCCTTAAAGTTGCCTCAAGTTCTTCTTCACTGCCACCAGAGACAATTCTGTCTGAAGAGCCTGCAAGCATTAAAAGCAGAAATGGAGATAAACAGTAAAAATACAACATTTAGGACTGTATTTAGGCTATCTAAATACTAGTTTCTAAATTCCACTTTTTGACTTCATCTGATGCATATAGTTCAACCTCAGCCGCTTCACTCTACATGCCTCCTTAAGGCTCTGACTTGTAAGCAAGGTGATTTGTATTTGAGCAACAAATATAACACTTATAGTCATCTGTTGTGCTCTGCTCAGAATACGTGAGCTGATTGTGGGTGTGAACCACGCTAACTCAGTTTGGTGTTCTGAGGCAAGATCAAGTTGGTACCATTTTCTTTCTCACACTATGTCACTTTATAGGAATTATGTTAGATGCCAGATGTATCATAAAGCAGTGTCCTATTCTCAGTTTGAGGATAAACATGTAAACGTTTTTTTTTCTGGATATCTTGGAGTGAAACAAGGTTTTTATTCTTGTCAAATGTAAGAGGAGGGAAAGGGCAGCAAAACTTAAGGTATTAATTGCAGCTCTTTTTAGCAATATGTCATGTACAAAGAAGAAAAGCATCCTCATAACAGATTCCTTGTGATGAACACAAGTATAAAAAGCATGACATGAAGGGAAAAGTACTCCCAGATGGATGGCTGGTGGCTAATCAGTGCTGCCATTCCTGAACTGAATGGTAGTGTAGAAATCTCAATATCGGATGCCATTAAAAGTTCATCATCTGCTAAGTTCTCCTGGTTTCAGTTTACACTGTAAGAACTTGCTGTTTGTTACCTAATGGTCATAGAAATAAAGCATCATGCAAACGTAAGGCCTATCTGTATACTTTAATTCATTTGCAGGAGATGATTAAAGTGTCATTTTAATTTTGAATAACAGATTCCAGAAGGGGATATAATGCAATCTAGCAAGACTACTTTAAACTTGTGCCTTTAGCTAACTTGATTGAACTATCCTAATTGTTTGTGTGTGTCAACAAATTATTTGTCAGCACAAGCATTCGGCTCAGTCTTCTTTACCCTTTCTTCTATAATTCCTTCTCATGCAACATCTACAGCCCTTCATTATATGGATGTAGGTGTTCTGCAGTCAAAGCCCGTTGCCCCGTTGAGGTGTATAGAAAAGTATTTTAAGGAAAGCAGTGCTGACTTTGGATTGCCTTGACACATAATGAGTAGAACTGCAGAACTTCAGACCTGACAGATGAGCAGTGCACACAGCTAAACAACCAGAGCAGTCATCTCATCAACCATCATTCTTTCATATTCTATGATTCTGAATGATAAACATAAATAGCAGCAAAATTAGGCCCAAGAAGGAAATTACTAGTAACTGATGTTGAACAAAATTTAGGTAAAGTCTTACGGAATTCAGTTTCTCTGAATATTAATGTTGTAACTAAATCCTCAAATAGCCTTGATTTTTATTTATTTGTTTGTTTGTTTGTTTTTTTGCAGTGAACACAGGCTAAAAACCAGGAAGGCAACATCTACCAGCTAGAGACAAAAACACATAAGCCTGCTCAAGCAATAATGTCGCTCTCTCTACTCTTACAGCACTCCAACACGATACAAAAGTATGGATAATGAACTATATGAACTATGTAGAATTATTCATGTATATTTTAAAGCCAACAAATAGTAGTCATAGTGGATGCAGTTTTTAAAACACTCAGAAACAGGAAATTATTCACAAGACATTTTACCTTGAGCTGCAATCATTATCTCCTTGACCCTCCTGTACTGGCTTAGCAGTAGCGTTAACTCCTCTATTCGCCGATCCTGTGAATAGCATTAAATGAAATTTAGTTGCGTATTTTCTGCCATAATTAACACAAGAAACCATTCTCAGAGTTATTGAAAAAGCTGTTGAGAGATACTCCCTTTAGGAAGAATACTTTATTTTGCAACATTATTGAGCGTAATAGCTCTGCACTGAATATTTATGAGGCTGTGGGTAAACCATCTGACGACTAATTTAAACACTACATTATCCAAATAAATGACCTTTGTTTCCCTGTGAGTATATCCAGGTATTAGCTCATAAAAACACCACCTTATGTTCACTTCAAATGTTAAAATCTTATACAAACTTGGAACAATTTTGCAAAGCAATGATGCTACATCTTATTTTCTAGATGTAAATTCTAGCTTTTTTAGTGCTTGAGATACTAGATACTGTCTCACTGATGCTCTCCAGAATTAACATTGCTCTGTCAGATCCCCCATTTACTGGTTTTTAGGGATGTATGTTATTGTCATTACACCTTCATTATATATGAAGGTGTCACCATCAAAGAAAAAGCTAATTACCTGGTTTGTTATCATAAAACAAGAATTAAAATTTTGTCAATTTAAGCAAGGAAAAAGTACTACAAAAATAAAGAACATTTTATGTAATCAAGTCAGTGGTACCTGAAGGTCTTGCACTTGAGTTGCCCAATTAATAGACTAACAGCATAGAGGTTAGAGAGACCAAAGCCATATTTGCTATTTCAGTGGGTTTAATTTTGCATCCCCTAGATTTTTATTACTCCTCACACCTCTTTTTTTTGTTTCGTTTGCTTTTAAACTCGTCCTTATTTTAAACATGGCCACATTTTATTAAAATATTTTACTTTCTTTTTATATCATAATCTGATCTGGGCATACCATTGCAGTTCAGATCAAGTTTGAAAGACTAAGAGCTACCTGTGCAACCTGGTGTAGGGAACCTGCTTTGGCAGGGGGGTTGGTCTCAATGATCCCTTCCAACCCCTACAATTCTGTGATTCTGTGAGATAAGCAAACCTTAGAGCCTTTCTCGAGAGCTCTAGCAGAAAACAAGAGATTTTGCTCATTACAGGCTTTGCTTTGCTTTCTGCTCTTCTCAGGAATCCCATGTACCTAACAAGTTCTGTGACAAGTTAGCAAGGTCAGCCATGCTTACTATTAAAAATCAACCTTCTGGCACAGTCTCATGGGATAATCCAAAAACCAGGGCACTATCATAATTAAGGAAAGCAAGTTATTCAGATCTTTACAGAGATTCAAAATTATAATTTCAGCTTTGTTACATAGAAAGAAGATTATTTTCTCACCTTTTCTTCATTTGCAGCCAATAATGATTCCATTCCTATCTTCAACCGTTGTACTTCTTGATCTAAAAATGTGATCAGAAAAATTCTTTCTATATTTAATCTAAACGGTATCTATTTTGCAGTACTCTCTCTTATGTTCTTACAAGTAACCCAAGCCATGTAAATTACTTTTAATTTAAAGCTTTTGAAAAGCTGAACTATTTAAAGCACCACGGAATGTGAACATGCTGGGTTTGCTTGTAACAGTCTACACAATGCTTGGGAAGATTTCATATTCCCAAATTCCCGTAAGAGAAAAAAAAAGAAACAATGAAACTTATTTTGCAAAAATGAGAGGGTGTTTGCTGTTCTGTATTTATGGAAATAAAAGTAAACATGACTGAAAATTAATTATATTCCATGTCAGAAAAATATTATCCAGTTTATGAGAAGTCATTCAAGATCCTTCTTTGAGACTTGAAAAATAGCAATAATTATTTTCATATTCTCTAATAAGGAAAATTCGTAAATATTTTTTCTGAAAATGTCTCAGTGTAAATAACTGAGTTAATGTCTGCATCAAGAAGTAATACATAATTGCCTTACACAAGATAGCAGTACAATACAGATTCAGAGGTTATTAAAAATGTTGTAGTCAGTGACTGAAAACAAACTTTCTGAAAACTGACAAGTACTTAATGACGTCATCCCAACTTTGCTGAACCACATCCTTTGTTTTTTCTTTAGATAATATTCGTATCAGTTCCAACCTGCTTTGAAACAAGTATATATGATGGAGACAGAACTGCGTTGACATTAGAGCAGACCCATTTGTTTCACAGAACACTATGAAAAACAGATGTGGAAGGCATGAAGTCAGAGTGAGGAAGGAGTCAACAGCATAAAGAACAGTTTAAAATGTTCTACAACTAAATGTTGGTATAAAACGTAATCAATCATTTTCCAGAACTGTAATTGTTTTCTCTGGTAGTGATTCTGAGAAATAGGCACTTTGTAATGATTACATTTTAAAACACGTAAAGGAACTTCGCAACATTTCTCTTTCAAAAAAGAACACTTAACAACACAAGGCATGCTCAGACACAGCCAAATCAAAAACTGAAGCCAGCAGACAGTGGGCAAGCAATTGGAAAATGTTTAAGAAGGCGTTACAAATCACAGTGCTGCTCATTTCAGCTCATAACATAGACTTCAAAAAGACCTGGTGTTGAGGTATTGTTAAGCACACAAAGCAAACTTTACTTAGAATATATTTATAAGAATACCAAGTATGGAAACAGATTTTTATTCAGACTGATCTTTATTTTTATTTTAATTTACTGCTCTGATTAAAAACAAACAAACAAACTCAAATGCTTTCCTTTGAGGAAAAAGGCTTTCAACTGAAGCCATCTTCTCAGGAATTATAAAAAGAGGTAAAGGTGAAGTGTTGGCTCTGTTAACCTTGACAATGTCAGTTTGAAGTCCCCAGCCATCTGATTAGTGAGCTTTTGATTTATTTTCTGAAGTGAAATCTTACTGAACAAGGTAAGTAGCTGTCTGCTTGCAGCAAGCAATAAAAGCAATTTCTCATGTATATTAGAATTAGACTGTCAAATCTAAACAGACATTGAATTACTGCTGCAGAATGCATTTGAGTTACAATTTGTGTGGAAGGAACAGTAAGAAAAAGCCACAAGTGAATTGCAAGGCTTACGGTTTTTTTTTAGCCTTCTCTTATAAACTTCCTCTATGGTGGTAAATGGTGGGAGTCAAATAAAATATATAGAAAAATATACAGAAAAAGCACAGATTAGATAAGGTTTGCATTTTAAAGAGAATACACATTCTAGTATACTAGAAAGAACATTATTTTTCTACTTTATTTGAGAAGACTCCTGAAAATCTGATGAATTGTTACAATTTTTTTCAAAAGCATTATTACTGCTGCATACTGTCTCTTTTCAAATATAGTCTAAGTGTTTTCCTTAAGGTAGCATGAAGAATCTGTACAGACTCTTCTCCCACTGGATTCAAGCTGAACTGCACCTATCTTCAGTGTGAACTGGACAAGACACACTGCTAGAAGCTGAAAGTTGCTGAGCTCTCAACTTGATGGCATACAGCTACCTGTCCCTTGAAGTATCACCACTTGAGAACCTCATAGAAAATACAACATTCTATTAGTAGGAGAGTCTGCCCACAATACAGTGTTGTTAGAGAAAGTAATATCTAGTTAGACATGCAGTATTTCACATGCACAAACTCTGCAAATGAGTAAAATCAGCACATGTTAAGGTTTCACAGAACAGGACTGTCACTGCTTCCGAATAAACAACAGTCAAGTGAGCACTAAGAATGAGGGAGCACAAACCTCCTGAAGTCTCAAACAAAGGCACTATTTGTAAACAGTAGGTAACATCCACAAAAAATTTAGTGCAGCTATATGATACACCATGGTAAACCTGCACACAGATAATCCTGCACTAAGAGTCAGTATTGTGGATGAAAAAGTTCACTAACGTCATAAAGCTCACAACTGACAGAAGCTGTAGGAAGACTGTGGCATCACTGGTTGTGACCAAAGGATAAGCAAACTGATCAATCTGTTATTCACCTCTATCAAGTATGCAGACTTAACACAGAAATCTGTGACACAGTCCTGAACAAAGGAAAGATGTGCATTAACAGATTTTTAGAATGTTAAATCATTCCAACATTATACCTCGCTACTATTGAGACTGTTTGTCTTAAAAAATGGCAACTGTCAAGATTTCTCAAAGTAATTTTGAAGGTATACACAAAAATATATATTCCTTCTGAACAAGAACAACTCTTTGAAATTATAAATAGAATCCCAGTTGAAAAAATTTCAGTGGAATTCCCCTTCTCTTACCTCTTTCTGCAACTTCGCTATGTGATGAGGTCCTAGATAGCTGACATTGTAAGCGTTCAATTTCTGCATCTTTGAGAGCTAACTGCTCCTGAAGCTGGGCTATCTCAGCCTGAGAATAAAACAAATTCAGAATAACATGATTATGTGTTCTCTGTGATTTTTTTCTCATGATTTCTAAACATAACACTACTTTGAATTAAGTTATTTTCCCAGTTTGGGACATTTCATAAACACTATACAACCTGGTGTTCTTCTCCAATTCCTTTCACAGAAGCTCCATTTTACAGTACAATGAGCTCTCAGAGAAGAGAGGATTGTGAGACAGGTAACATTTTCAAGGACTCATGTATGTAAAGAAAATACAACACTACAAGAAAGCTTTCAATACTACACTGCTGATCATGCAATATTGACTGTGATAGGGCAACTCCTGAGTTTTGCATGAAGACCACTGTAAGACAGCAAAGCAATTTTTTTTTCATATATTGTTTTTTATTCTAGTTACTACTACATATAACTTGGGAAAAGTGATTCTTCAGCTTAAAATACAGTGACTCATCCCTTTTTTCTGTTTATGATAAAAACTGTCAATAGCATCCTTTACTACATCAGTAACTAAGTTAAGATTTTCTTCAGCAGCCTGTAGTCCTTTATATTGAATCATTGCATTTCCACCAGCAAAAGCATCAAGAACTTGCTTCTAGTTTAAAGAAAATAATTAAAATCCACTAATGTATGACTAGTCTTTCAAAATATTAAAATAAAGGCAGAAAAATGCAAGACACCGAACATCAGCTGGACAGGATAAAATATAGACTAAAATATGGACTAACACAAACTTTCTGTTTTTAAACCAAGAAAGAAGGAGGCAGCTGGATGGCAGGAAGAGTTCACCACAATCCTGCCTGCAATCCCTCGTGGAACAGAGAAATCTGCCTTGTTGCATCTCTGAGGGGCTCCTACACTTCCCAGTGACTAATGTGCTTTTTATATCCAGTCATGGAAATACTCCAATTCCTCATCTAAGAAGCTGAAGCAACAGAAAGACAAAGCTGCAGACCTCCTAATACCAGATTTGGATACGCCTCTGCTGGTCTATTTGACCTCATAGTTCTCTTAATTCTCTTTTCTTTTAAATTTTTCATTCCTGTCATCTCTGTAATTATTTTTCTTCTTCCTCTCTTTTTCCCTGTACTCTTTTTCTCCCTTCCTATTCTGTAACTTCTCAGTAAGTGTTACTATTCATTGTTATTTTTGCTCTGCTTCTACCCTTAATCTTCATGTGTCTTGGCAGCTGACCACATGCTGCTTAACAAAATATTTTCCTCAAGACTGTTCATTGCTGACACGTCAGAGGAGACATTTTCATGGATATAAGAGCTTTTAACTTAATAAATAAATAATAATTAAAATTAGAGCAAAACATCAATATTCATCTAAGAATTCTCAAAAGAAATGTTAATACAGAAAACAGCTATGTGTCATTTCTGGATCAAGCTTTCAGCTATTACAATCACAACTCAGTTTAATAATTTAAAATGTTCTTCCACGATACAGCCACTCAGAAAAGTCAGTCATGCATACAGTGATTATAGCACTGCATGTATGAAAGGTAACATGATGACAGAAGTGTTCCTTTGATCTAAAAAAGGGCTAAAAATTCAAAGTAACTAAAGTGTAACTGTTTAACAACGAGAATGTTCAACCAGAAAAAAAAATTACTGGCAAAAATGGTCAAGTGTGTCATATTAAGTTCCTCTAGATTGAATACAACAGCTTTCCAGAAGTTAAGGTCAACACAGGTGTAAGCAGATACACATGCTCTCTGATACCGTCACAAAGTCAAAGTACATGGTCTACTGGTGTATTCTGGGTTTAACATCTAATAATCACAGAATGGAAGGGACATCAAGGATCATGAATCTCCAACCCCCTGCCACAGGCAGGGCCGCCAATATCCCTATTTAATACTAAACCAGGTTGCTCAGGGCCCCATCCAATCTGGTCTTGAACACCTCTAGGGATTGGGCATCCACAACCTCTAATAAAATTCCATGGTAAGCAATACTCATCCAATTTTGCATGTCTCTTCAGTCTAGAAAGCATATTCTGCAGAGACTTGTCACCATTACACAAAGCAGGTATCTTCCCAGAACAAAATGCCTTTAAAAAACAAAAAACAAAACAAACAAACAAACAAAAAACACCAAAAACCCCCCAAAAAAACGAAGGTGTAGGAGACTGGAAACTGCAGGGAGGAGGGAGCAAAAGGCACAAAAAGAAGATACAAAAACTGTTCTCCAAAATACTTAATACACAGACCAAGGAAACCCGGTTTTATAGTAGGCACTGACACTGTCACAAAAGTAAATGATGATCATCAGGAAGTGAGTATATCCCTTTCTAACTGAAGTAAGTCTGTCATTAGTAAATGCTAAGCATTCTCCTTACTTTAGTTGCTTTTAATTTCCACTCATATTGATTTCTTTCATTTTCCAGTTCTTCCACTTTAATTTTGAGGTGTCTGAGTTCCTGTAGCAAACCCTGCAAAGGAAAAACAGATAAATATAAGATTACTCAGGCAGATATTAATTCTCCATGGTTATGAATTAAAGATCATGTATTAACCATGTAGTAATGAACACTGAACTATCAGATAAAAAAGCCGTGGTTTCGTCTAACCAGGTAACAACTATTTTGAAAAGAGAGATTGTTCTAAGGAACAGTTTTCTCTAATTCTCTATCAGAAATTATGAGCAAATTTCTTGGTCCTATTAAGGAAGACAGCTAACCTGGGGAAAGCTGACCTCGGAGAAAATGAGCCCACAACTACAGTCTCATGCAGCATTAACTATTGCTTATTTACTTGTTTGCTTTTGCCACCATTTCAGAAAACAAGCAGAAGCATATGAAGCTCTAACGTGAGTTATTTCTATTAAAGTGACAGTCCAAAGGAACACTTAAGCTACTTACCAAGAAAAACAATTCAGATTACAAAATGCTTGTTTTTTGGCATTGAATGCCACACACGTATAGTGTGTGTATATGACTATCAACATAATACTTTCTGCATGGATGATTGCAACTTGGCAAAAAGAGTTGCTGCAGAACAGAACTGCAGCAAACTCTTGTCTATTCCTCTGATAAATTGTCCCTTCTCCCTTTCCACCAGCCATATCTTAGTGTTCACTCTTGAGGACAACACAGTGACACACTGGAACAGGTTGCCCAAGGAGGCTGTGGATGCCCCATCCCTGGAGGCATTCAAAGCCGGGCGGGATGTGGCTCTGGGCAGCCTGGTCTGTTGGTCAGCAACCCTGCACATAGCAGGGGGGTTGAAACTAGATGATTGTTGTGGTCCTTTTCAACCCAGGCCATTATACGATTCTGTGATTCTCAATAGAACTTCGATGAGACCAATGAACTGAAGAACGGAAAAATTCGGAAGCAAAGCCACGTTTTGGAATCTTGTATACTACATGCATCACACAACCACAGTATTATCTTACTAATGATCATTGGGAATATTAAAAATTGACTTTTTAAAGCCAGATCAATATCATTCAACCTTCATTAAGCAGTTTATGCACAATAGCTTTTGTTTTGACATCTGGCATGATTTTGACCAAATACAGCTAGGATCTACAAAGTAAATTTAAGAACGCTTTTCTCATAACTGCTAATGTCAGAGTCAGTAAAAATGTGTCAGATCTGCTATGTCACACGCACAGGGAGATAGTTTTTATAGGATATACTTCAAATAGACTTACCTGAATCTGCATTTTATACCTGCGTTAAGCTTTTTGATATGCAGAAATGAATAATGATCAGCATTCAGAGGACTGGTTAGAGCGATGTTATTGTGAGGAAAGTTAACAAACTATCAAACCATGCTACACAGCAAACAAATCTCACTGAAGGGAAAAATAAAAAAGGCGGAGAAGGGGAAAACCAAGCCAACCAACAAAACCACACCAGTAGCATAGGCCTACAAATAAGATGCAAATAATATAAAACCTGAGAGAGGTGATGGTTCTTATGGATATCTGTGTTTATGTAGATAAGAGTGCAATGATGACCAAATTTGTCCTAGTGACTGGGTAGAAGATAAGGGGGCAAGGCGTCTAGGTTTTTTTGTTTTTGTTTTAGTAAGTTTGACAACCACCTCTCTCTTACTCCTACTCATGAGAGTCAGAATGATTAATGTCACTAATTCACAACATAACCCTGGTTAACATAATTTAGTTTCTGCAAGAGAAGAGGCAATACACAGGCTGCTGCTAATGTATACCTCTTGTACATCGCACTGAGAGCAATTCTTCTGGCTGACAGTCTCTACCACTGATGTTGGGCTAGACTGAGGACCATTAGGTGCCACACTGGATTTCCTATCTTGGGATTTTCTTTCTTGGATTCTACTATTAATTTCCAGCTGCAGTCTACACATCTGCTCCTGTAGCTCACTTATCAGGTTCACTACCGACTGAAAATATGGGAATAACAAAAAAAGACAGATGAGAAATAAAAATGCAGACAATATGCAAAGAAAGTATTGGTACAGCTGCAGCACAGATAAATACAGAAAGAATATCAGAGGCAACCTAAAAAGACAATGTGTTCCCTTTCTGGTAAAACCTGAGAATGGGCTTTGTATAGAACGACAGATTAAATAGAACAGAATCTATGTTCCAGACCAATACATGACTTCTCATTTCTTCCAAGTGAATTAAATTTAATGAGATTAATCCATCTCCCACAGGAGTAAAGAAGTTTTTAATGGACAAAAGACAAAGTGTATATACACATTTTTTTCTTCATTATCATACACATAAGTCTTGTTGTAATCCCAACTCTGCTGATTCAGTAACTTCAAAGCTGCAGTGCCAGAGCATAAACTGCAAGAACCGGGCACTGCTTCAACCAGGTTAAGTATTGAATTATTCAATCTCAAGCAACCACAGACTACTTCAAATATTCACAAAGATTCTCTTTCAAAAGCTTACATTAAGTTAGCTAAAATAAATTTACATCTATTAAATATTTTTGAAAAGCACTGTGCTTAAAATGAAATTCAGAATAGCAGCTGCAAATATTTCCCTTCCTGCATATCACTCTGAGTCAGGCTCACAACATTTGATGCTCAACTTTTCTCATCCAACAAATCTTTTACACACCTAAATGAGGATTAAACTCCTTAAAAAAACCCAAGAAGTTTAGTTGGTGCACTTGGCTCCAGCACACCAACTCTCTAGCACCCAGTGTTTTATAGGCTGAGATGCTTTTCCAGGGCTATTCAGTTAAGAAAAAGATAGTTTATTTCATATGAGCTCACCTAGACGAAACTACATCCCTTGTATTTTCAGTACTGCCACTTCGCAGCAACACAGGATATTGGTGAGGAGTGCATCACTGCAGCTAATCCATCCTCTTAGCAGAGCACTGCAAAGCAGAACACTCTTCATACTTGCTGCGTGTATAATTTAAATGCTATCCACAATCCTTCCACCTTCCATGCTTCGAATTTGTTTCTCTTCTGTCATCATCTCCACACTCAGACACCTCACTGAGGAGCAGAGTCCTTGTGGTACATATCTATCTCCTTTCTTTTAAGCACCACTTGTCTTTGTCAGAAAGCGCCATTAAACAATTTGTTAAGCCACTGGTCAAACAAGATGCACAGACTGGTAATTGCTCTGGTTGTAGCACAGTGAGAGTTCAGAATCACAACTACTGCTGCTACTTTTCTGCCTCATGTTCACAAAGGAAATGGGAAACTCTCTGCATCTACACAGACTTCCTTCCGGGAACACATGGCAGCATACAAGTGGCAGAAAACTTCATTCTTCACAGGGATACCTTAATCTTTTCCATAAGCCTAACTCCAGAGGCAATGTATGTCTCACAGTTGTTTTCAGTTTCCAGATAAAAATGTCTCCTTTTTTGAGATTCTTTCACAGCATGATAAATTATTAATATTAAAAACCCTGTCTTAAACTTGATTCAGTTGAGGCAGCACAATCAACTCCACAGTGCTGTGCTGTGTCAAAGACCAGAAAGAATTACTTGGCTCGCTGACTCAAATTTCTCTGAAATGGCAAGTAATTGTGCACTAGGTATTTATATCAGAAGTGTCCACACAACAGCCATAACACGATTTCCAACAGCATATAGCAAACTTCAGATCCTCAGCACAAAAAAACCAAACCCCACAAAACTTACCACATTAAAATAAAATATAGGAGGAGAGAATAAGGGCTGTTAGCAAGTTGAAATGGGCACTTATTCTTGAGACCTAGCAATAGGTCATCTCTATTGCCCATGTTTGGGTAAGGCAAGCTGCAGATAATCACTTGATCGTGTTGCTCTCTCAAAACTTGCAAACACTGAGGAAACATATTTCTAAGATTTCTAAGTTTCCTCAGGTCAGAGAAGTTACACAAATGCCCTCGGGTGGGATCTCAGAAACCTTCACAGCAAACAAGACAACATTATTCCACATACAGGGAATTCAAGTGACAAAGGCAGGAGTGAGACCATCCACTTACAAGTAGCTATTCTCCTGGCTCCTGTGTTATAACTAAATGCCATTATAAATTTAGCATGTGCATTTGAAGAGCCAAAGACAAGTGGCATTCAGACCTGAAATTAATACCTTTGAGAGCCAGATACTCAAACTCTTTGCTGCTAACTATAACTACAACTAAACCACAGCTGCATAAGATAAACAGAAATAAATCTGATTAAGACTCATTAATATTTAGAAAAATATCTTAATTTGCTTTGTTTCTCCTCAAACCAACCAGAAAAATAATTATATGGATAAATTCTATGTGACTGGAAACAGCTGCTGTGAAATGAACTGACACAAAATTAAGAGTACAAAGGAAGTATGTTTTAGCTGACTTGTTTCACAATTTCACATCTTGTTTTAAACTTTTATTAACTTGCTATCATACTCAGAAATGGCAGTCAACCATAAAGTATAATTAACGGGCACCTTAACATTGTTTGAGTTCAAGATGCCTCCATAACATGTGGTAGGGTGAAAGCAGTACTATTCTGATAGTAAGAACACTATGAAATCACTGTTCTGCTCACCTCTGTCAATCCTAATCTTAGTCTTGAAAGCAGCAACCAGCCAACTGCACATAAGAGAAAGGCTCTGTCACTGACAGCTTCGTCCCACTTGTATAAAAGTATTAATTGCAATTTCATTTGATATATTAGACACTGAAAGAGCCTGTTGAAGTAGCCACAACACTCAGAGATACAATTACAGGAAGATTAATTTCATTCAGCCACTATCAGTTTGGAGAACAGTGTCACCCAAGAAATTAGGTTACCCCAGATTCTTTGCTTACTTAAGAATAGATTAACTCACTTGAAAGTCATAGCGAGGCAGTGAAGGCTCAGAATGAATTTCAAATGACACTAAAGGCATGAAACATAAGCAGCATTTACAGTCCAATAGTATTAAGAAAATATAATAATAAATTTCACTGTGATGTTTGAAACCATGGTTCTATTGAGAATTAACAAAATATAATTTAAAAAAAAATAATAGTAAAGGGAGCTGAAGTTGATAGAGTAAAGCACTAGAACTCCAGTAAGCATTCAGTTGAACCCCCTGTTTATCTTGAAAAATTGGATTACCATTTACTTATGGCAATCTGAAATAAATGTATAAAAGAGTTCAACAAGCAAACTGAAAATGCTTTTTATTTCTTACAGTTTTAGTTATAAGACTAATTTTCCTTGCTTTGTATATGTAGGCTTGCAACTTTCAATAGGCCAGAAATCTAATCACTTCTCGGGGCAATCAATAATTCATAGAATACTTAACACAATGATTCTCAACTTTTCCATTAGGTTAGGATTCTTTTCCATCTCAAGAGGGCATTTCCTATTACTTAAAAATACAACAAAGCTTCCAGACCAATAAAACTAAACTTCCATCCTAGTAGGCTACACGTCCTGCTGCAGTAGCAGAAGAATTTCACAGATCACAGACTCACCTTCATCACAGCCCCAGGCCTACTCAGCACTTAGAAATACTGTCAATGCAAATGCACTGAAGAGCTTTGTTGCTTTCCAGGAATTAGGCTGACTGTGGATATCCTGAACTAATTCAAACAGCTTCTTCCTGGTATTCAACATGTAATGGGAAGTGCTAAAGGCCTCTCAGAAAGATAGCAGCTGAAAACAGGCTCCCACCTGAAGCAAGTACACGTTGCACAGACCTTTTTAGATTTCCAGGTAGTATGACACTGCTCAGGCCTTCCGTACACAGGACACTAATAATTATGGGTGAAAGAGCATGAGAAGGCCATGGATAGTAAAAACAGCAGCTGGTGCCTCTCTGGCTTGCAAACTGCCAGAAAATGCTCTCTGTAAGCAATCTTTGGATCTCTAAACAAAACTTCAGAGGACAACTAAGTCAAAAAACAAACACACCCAAACTTATGTCACTGCAGGTAAATTACTTAGAAGAATACTTGATAAATGTCTATTAACATTACAGAGAGCAATCTGTTTTCTAATACTGCCTGTATTACAGTTTCTTTTAAGGCAACATGGAACAAAGTCTTTTTTCAGTTATCGAAGCATAAATCTTGGCCAACGCACAGCCCTACTAATCCTTTCCTGCCAGGTAACCCTACCAGCTTATGTGGTCTCTCTACAGGAGATGGCACTTCATCTGAATTACTGTCTTCCATAATCCGTTACCTCTCCAGTTCCCACCTGCTGCTCACTACACAGAGGTTTCAATGGAACTGTGCTCCATCAAAAAAATAGACGTTCATTTTATTCCCATTTCATATTCTCTTCCTTAGCTAACACAGTGAAAAATAAAGCTGCGTTGATATTCCGAACTCTCCAGTTCTAAAGGAGAAAAATGATTAGAATTTCTTCCAGTGCAAGTGATTTCCACCCCCCGCCCCACTAAATATTTGTTATGTAAACACAAGGGAAAGGGATTATTTGAGGAAAATACCCTGCTCCTTGCCTGTCTCTCCCAACAACGATGAATACATCAAAATTACTGAGGGCCTCTGCATACAATTTTCTGTAGCATTCCTGATACTGCTAAACTTACAGTCTTCTCTGTCAAGAAAACATGGAAATAGACTCAATAGGCTTCAAACAGCCTTGCCTGTGGAAAGGAAAGAGTTAAGTGGAAAAAAAAACAGTATGCTGCTGGAATGGACTTTGTGTCTTGATTAAAGCCAAACAGCAAGCTCTGAAACATAATGAGAGAGGAAAAGAAACCACATCCCAAAAATGCATAATCATATTCCTCACTGAATTCACAGGACCAAGAGTACAGATCGGGCTCTAAGAACGAGAGGAAACTGCATGCTGTTTCCAGATCAGCAGATGTATGACCAGAGACAGAGGACAAAAAAATGATGAAAAAGAAAGAAGCAAGAAGCTCACCTCAGCTTTGTTCTGTTTCTCTTCGTATTCACTCTGTTCCTTTTCCATGCCAACAAGCTTAATCTTCAAGTCGGAAACTTCAGCCATTAAATCTAATTTCTGAGTCTCCAGTGATGTTCGACTTAGCAGCTCCTGAAAGCAAAACAGAATATTTTCCCAAGTTATTTTCATTTAAACACTGACAGAATGCTGCATGATTTGCTGGCAAACTCATAGGTCTCTACCCCTTTGTTTACACTTTCAATACAAAAGCAAAATGGTTCTCTTCTTCAAAAGCCACAATCACTACTACTTTACCATGCAAAAAGTTCTTAACACTGCAAGTAGAAAAAGTATCTAAAAGAGTTCAGAGTGATCAACTAGTTCACATGAAAGCAAATTTCTCTCTCCCTCTCCTCCTGTTGTATATACTCTGAACTGTTTGAACTCTGTTTCTCAAACACTGCAGTTATTTTCACCTACATGTTCTCCTGTGTTAATCACTAAACCACTGTCCTCCTCCTCACTTCAACACAATGTCTGGCACAGAGTCAATCCCTGTGCAAAACACAAAATCAGAAAACAGTACTAAGGCTGAACTAACACAATGCTACATAATGCCACAAAGACCTTCAGATGACACATTACAGAATGATTGACTACTTTCTAAAACACTCAGACTAAGCCATGTTTTAGTATTATAATGCAAAGTTCTACAACATTTTATCACGTGTTATTCAGCACAGGATGTACTGAAGCACAAGCACTGAACCAAAACCGAGTACCAGTGGGAAGCAAAATTTCTGCTGTCAAGCTAACAGTACTTGAAAAGTTAATACTGTATAGCAGTTAGTAACTTCACAAGAATACTAACTTTGGAGGGAACAGTACTGAATGAGAAATGGTGTGACATAAATAGAACCTAAGTGCAATGTCTAAACTGACTAACACCATAAGCTAGAAAACAACTGACCATGCTTGTGTGTCCTGAGCTCAGTTTTCAGATTGCAGAAATAGGCACCCTTGGTGGAGACAATATCACCGTCTTTGGAAAACGTTCCACATTCACCTTTATTGCAACTTTCAGTTTCCAAGAAAGCCAAAACCAGAATATACTATCCAAAATTGCCCCTCTTGGTCTCTAATTTCAAAATGAGAAATCCATTCAGAACTTTAAGTCTTACAGAACATTCAATACCTAACTTTCCAAGTGCCTAACTTCTTCTGTAAAAGATCTTAGGTTTCAGAATAGAGGCAGGTTGCTCCCAAAGCCACAGAATGTGTCTTGTCCTTCACATCACTGTTGCTGCTGCTCAGACACACCACCCACTGCATCTTACTTTGCCAACATCCACCATTTGATCTCCATAAACATTCAGCCAGTGTTGACGAACATCAGTCAGTACCAATTTTTTTTCATGGAAGAATTCAGTAACACACTTGTGCTCCTCCTGCACTTCCATGTCAGACACCATTCTGTCAGACTGTCCCTCTGCTGCCATCTGTCACACAGCAACAACCTCTACTATCATCCCACCAAAATCCACCTCTGATGTCATGAGCCAACGTAACAAAATAGAAGGCATTTTTAGAGCATTCTTCATGTATACTAATTTTTAGCTTGTTTTGTATTTTTAATTAGATGGTAATCCATAACTGACATTGATGTTTTGGTCATATTAAGCATACTGACAAATTTCAGCAGATTCCACTTTGGATTACATGGAAAGTGATTTAGAATTTGCATACTTATTCTGGATCTGTACTAATGCTACTGAGAGTTCAGGAGCTGCCCTTTTGACCAGCACCCTTTTCTCATGTCTTCCTTTTACCAAGCTATGTAACATGTTGTATACCACCCTTTGGAGCCAAGGAAGCCACAAACCTTATTGTAAAAATGATGTCGTTAAAGATCACTTGGAACCCAAATCCGCTTTACATGTAAATTGTTTTAGTCTGCTGGGGAATACTGCCCAAATTAGAAATGGTACTGAACTCGCAACTGCATTACAACACCAGTTATCTAAGCCACCCACTATTCCCAGTGTCATGCCCACTCCTGCTGACAATGACAATGGGATTTGTGTATGGGTGGAAAAATAAACAAATGTAACCCACCCCCACTTTTTTTTTTTTTTTTTTTTTTTGACCTTGAACAGAATAAGTTAAGTAACAATCAAGATCATTCAGTTCTAAAAATCAGTCACCTAGTGAAATCCCAGAGCTAGCTAAATTCTACTAATATGATTTCAAACACAATTATAAAACAAACAAACAAACAAAACCCCTTAAGATTCCAGGAATACAGGACTACTTCTCCACTATCTTGGACAAATTCCAGAGGAATATACCAGCCCAGACTGGAATGGGCTCTGTGCAGCTGGTAACACAGAAAACTTGTAGAGATTAATATACAGCTGAGATATAAATGAGAATTTGTATATGGAAATAGGGACAAAACATCAAAGAGACTGGCAGGATGGAGTGACTTTAGCCTCACTGACAGGCTCTATTCACTGTTGAACTGAAATAACATTTAGACTACTCTTTTTTTTCTTTGACATTGATGTAGCATTTGATGATGCAAGGGGAAGATTTCTTAATAAGTCAAGGAGACAGCATCCATCTAGACATTTTCAACAACAGAGCTCCTTTGAGGTACTGTCTGGTATTAATGCTTAGTTTTTCAATAGACTCCTAAATTAAATTTGTTTGTGCAACAAAGAGTAATACCTCAGTCCTCTCCTGAGTTCCACAGCTCCATGTGAACAGTAAGGTGCTACCTGGGATGACTGAGCATGAAGGCAGCTTCTATTTATTGATTTTTTTAAACTCAAAATCTTAGTTTGTTCTGAAGATGGACGATTGGATCCTCATCTCGTGTAAACTGGCATAAATCTCTTGCCTTAAAATAGACAAAATAGCTAGCTATCCCTGGTTTGTTTTCAGTGGATTTACACTGATTTAAAACAGCTGACAATTTATCTTGCATCTAGAGTGCCTAACTTTTGCTTTGAAAGAAAGTGCCATTTTAAGTAACTGTCCCCTCTTGAAATGGATAGAACATCTGGAAGCAATTATTTTCCTCTTCAAGCAGATGCTCAGAGAGAACAACTCATTAGAGAATGTGACCCATTTTGCTACAGAGAAATTATAGTTTATTTCAGTGGTAAGATGCAACATGAAGCCATCCAGAATAAATATGAATTGAAAGAAAAGAAAATACAAATTTAAGTTATTGGTTTTAAAGTAAAAAAAAAGATAATGTAAGAGAGGGAAAATTGTAATTTGGCTGTAGTAGCTTTAGGAGGATCTTAAAGATCAGGCGTATAGAACAGAAACAGAATGTATACTATGAAACCTTATGTATAATAAGCATGTTACTTGTTTTTCATTTAGTAAGTACTGTACGTATAATTTATTTCCCTGTAGTTCTTTTTCTGAAAAATCAACTTTAAAAATTAAGGAAAAAACTGTTTTAGAGTAGGATAGTCACAAAGATGGTTTTGCAGAACCTGCAATCTGTGTACATCAGATGGATCAATGCCAAACTACTTCCAAACAACTGTATTTTTAAAATTCACACTGTATATTTTTTATTTAATCATGCCTTTTTTTTTTTTTTTTTTTTTCCTCCAATATTCTCAGTGAAACTGAAGCATGTAATATGTGTCACTTTCAGATTTTGTTGGCTTGGAAATACATATTTCTCATAAAGCTGCTTATAAAATTTAACATCATAGAAAATAACTTAGAAAGAAGCACTGCTCTGTTCTAGGCTGTCTGTTGCAAGCACAGTAAATTACAGAATATTTAGCAGTCTCCAAAACAGAAAAAAAGGATCAGGCTACACTGATTCACAAATCATAAATAAGATTTTAGTCAAGTGGGCAAAAAGCACCCCAAAATCCCATTTTGCACTTATACAAAATACAACAGTCAAAAATGTCTTAATTCTCATATTCATTAAAGCAGCCGACAGAGAGAGAGAGAGAGAGAGAGAGAGAGAGACAGACCCACCTACCTGGTAAGCAAAATTCAGCAAGAACCACTGCCAGAGAAGACCGTACTTTTTGAGTGCTGTGTGTCAGCTGTGGTGGAAATAAGATATTCTAACTGAAAACACAGCTGACAGCAATGTACGTGTGTAATTGCTATGAAATGGTGCAAGTCAGTAGCCGAGAGTGAATTACAGCCCTCCAATTCATCGTTTGTCTATTACATAGTTAAGCAACAGAAAGAATTTCCCAGCGCACTGACGGTTTGAACAGTCCTTTGCGTACATCTGACAATCAGATGTGCCTGTAGCTGTTAAATAGCAAAATGGTGTATTGCTCACCTGTATAGATAAGCTGCACTTGAGAGCACGCTCTAAAAATCTCAAGCCTTCTAACTAGAGCAGCACAGAACACATTTCAAACTCTGAAACACTAAGCCAGCAGCTGGCAAGAAGTTACTGCATGTTATAAACAAGTGCTGAAATTCATTTAAGATCAGATAACTCAGGCAATTGAAAGCTGAAGGAATGAACCTCGCCAGCCAGCAAAGTTCCTGAGAAGCAAACAGATATATACCAGATTTAAACTGTGCAAAAAAGATAGGATTCTTGCTTCTTCGAGTACAAGACAATAGAAAACCAGAATAGGTTCATGTTAAAACACACTGAATTCAAGTTTTTACTCTTTTATAGCTCCTCCTTGCATTCCTTTAATCCAGTGTTTTTTAAAAAGAGTCTCCACTGTGCCTCACCAAGTCTTTGTCTAGCACACATTCACCTGCTATGTACACCCAGGTAGAAGCTGGCCATAAAATTACATCAGAGAGAAGGAAAGCACTGAAATTAACTCCTGTTTGCATTTAATAATTTCAGTTTCCATGTGTTCAAGACAGAAAGAACCATAAGGCCAAGTCCTTTGTACTCTGCAACAGAATTTACTTCATGGAAGACAATTAGGTTTATGCAATGCAGCCATCTGACCGGTCCTTCAGGATTTGGTGCAGGTCTGATATAAGACAGACACTGCCACACAGATCAGTATTTTGGCAAAATAAACATAGAACTTCAATGGCAACAAGTATCTGTTAAACCAATCAAGTGCAGAACAGAAATAGCAAAGAGTGTTTTTACTTGTGGTAATTACTATACCAAATGCACATAAACTGTGGAGGTGAAATCTCTAAGTGCAGACTTTTCAAACTGAACTAGCACAACTGACAAGAGCAACAACACTAATTTCAAAGCACTGGTGCATTTACATTACGCATGGCTGGTTCTTTCTGATATGGGCCAATATAAGCTACTTTATAGAGCAAAATTTACTTTTGCTTTCCAATCACGTTCAACAATTTGTATACAGTACAAATATATTAGAAATGGATTGTCATAGTATAAGTATTTTTTTTAAAGATAATTCTAGAAATAGGATTGTTTTTTATTATTAGAGACAAATTCTTCTCTATCTAAGGTGCAAGGGAGCTAACAATTCACACAGCAGCTCCATATCTTTTACAAGCTTGATGGTAAGACTTGATGGCAAAATTGGAAGGTAACCCAGAGAGACCAAACTGGGGTCTTGTTCCCAGACAGCCTCCAGAAAGTTTTCTTTTATCTTTGAGTATGACTGAAGGACAAGGAAACATTTTTCTTACAGCATAATACAAGGATACCTAAGAACTTGTATCAAGTTTTGCCATTAACTTTCACAAGACAGTCCTACTTTGTTTTAAAGAAATTGCAAATGTCTTCAAGACAGAAAACGTTGTTTCTTAGAGTCTGTAGTAGTGCAAGTATTCTTACGTAAGCAAAATGTGGAGTTTGATACTGTAGTATTACAAGTCAGGGAAACATACAGGTGATATTTTCTTCAGCTGCAGCTCTATAAACAGCTAGGTCAAATGAGCATCCACGCCTACCTTGACTTCTTCTGTGAGCTGGCTCAATTCAGTAACACAGAAGAAAAAAACACAACAAAAAAAAGCCGAACATCCTCTTCTTTTTATAACCCTCCTTGCTTTCTATCCAGTCACTGGGTCAAAATTATGAAAAATTATGAAAGTGAATACAAGAAGAGTTGTAGAAGCACATGGACAAGGACAAGAAAAAGAACAGAACGATGAAGCTTTTTTTTTTGTTTTTTTTAGTAGGAAACTGCTAGATGATATCAACTAATTTCCTCTGTGCTTTCAGTAAGAACTATTGCTCCCTCCTCTTAGAGAGATGAAGAATCACAATTTCTCCCAAAGAACCTGCAATCTCTGTTGCTGCTATTCAGCATTTAAGATGCCCACTCTAAATGCTGAACAACCGTTTTACGTAATTCAGATAAAGTTTGTTCTAGCTTCATTTGAAAAGTTGCCATGATAGCTTTGTAGCTGAGTTCAAAACAACTGCATAAATCATAAGCCAGAAGGATTTTAGCCAGTAACCCCACCCATACAAAGTGGGCAAGTCTCTGCTAGCATAGATTTAGCAAAGACTATTTTGCAGGGGAGCGTTGCACACCCTTCTGTTCTGGTACCACCAAATATCTTGTTATGTAACTTCATTAAATTATCTGAATAAAGTGCATTAGTCTTTAGTGTAGCATTTTGGGGGCAGAATTTTGTAACATTTCTTATAGTTCCCAAATTCAAAAGATATGGCTATCCTGGACTCATGTATACTGCTTCCCAAATAAGTAAATATGCTGTGCCTACTTATACTATATACAGCAGTTAGCCTAGTTATATATAAAAAAAAACAAACACACATTAAACACATGGCAATGAAAGGCAATTATTCTCATCCATTTTCCCATTTAGAAGCAGCAGTTGACTTAAGTTTACAAAGGTAAGAATCAATGTAGTTCAATAGATTCTAAAAAACAAGCGGATTCAAGTAAGATTAGATTTACAATGCACCTCAAGAGAATAACAGAAGTCTTCCTGGAAAGCAGGACTATCTATACCCATAGTTAAGACTGGATGATTATTTCTTATTACAAACAAGTTAGTTTACTGTAAAAATAAATACAGTTTGATTGCCCTTGAAAGACCAGAAAGAAGCCTTTTTTTCTTTTTTTCTTTTTTTAAACTGGAAAAACGTAACATCAACATTAATATCTTTCATTTATTTGCTAACTACCACGGGCTTTTGTACAGAACACTGGAAACCTTTGGCTAACAAGATCTCATTTAGATTAAAACAGGAACTTTCTACACTCCATCTTCCTGAAGTTTGAAAACATTTCCATAATTTGTTACTGTTCTTTGAATTTCACTTCAGATATCTAAATTAAACATATCTGCTGGTTATATTTTCTAAAATGTCCCCTCCCTCCTTTAAGTAAAGCATAAAACTTTTCTCAGTTGTAAGCATTTTGGGTTGCAACAGTTGTGTGAGACCAATTTTGTTTTCTTTTGGTGAAGAGCTTTAACTGCAAGAGGTTTAGGATACACATTTACCAGATGGAACACTACATCCTGCACATTCCTGCTCTAGATTTTAAAGGCTTTTTATAGTTTAAAATTTATTTTCAATATCCATGTGCTGTATTACCAGCAGATTATCTGCATATGTAGTAACTTGTCTTGATAGAGACCCAAGACTGCACATGGAAAGTTCTTTCATGTCCACAGACTTGTCAGCTCCGCAGTAACATGAAATGTAAGACACTTATTATTCATTCATTCTCCTCAATATATACCATGAAACAACAGCAACGAATTAAACCACGTAGCTTGAAATTATTGATTGAAATAATGAAAAGTATCTTCATATACTTTTTGATTTTTCAAAAATAAACACTCCTAAATAAAGCAAAAATCATTAAAGAACCAACTTTGATACAATAATTCATTTCAATGCACTAATTGTTCAGCTTTAAAGATATAGAAAAACTGAAACTATTTAAGTAAGACAACTTAATTCTGTAACTGCTACATACAGTAGGTACTCATAACCTGTCTAACCAGTTACTCAACCACATCCAAATTTAGTTCGTCAGCACAGTACAAACAATACACAATAGTTTCATTTTACATGCTGCCACATACGGCATTATGCAACCAGCCAATAAAACATTTCTGCAACAGGAAAACAAAGAAATATTTATTGCAAAAAAGTAGTTTGCAAAGTAGCAAGAACACAATAAAAAGAGGCAATTCTTTTTCTGTTTTCTCTTGCTACCAAAGGCACTCCCACATGCAGGCAAACAGAGAATGTATGTTCTCATCTTTCTCAAAGGAGATTATGCAAAAACCTTTCCAATCTAGCTCTTTACCTGTTGAAGCATTTCTTCTGTAGCATTCAGTTTCAACTGATGTCCCTCAAGACAGATTTCTAAGTCCCGTATTTTCTCTCCTTGAGCTTCTACCTGGTCTGTAAGAACGCTCACCTGTAATAAGAGAAGAGAAACACAATGATACTGAACTGACAGTAAATAAGTTTGAATTACCTTGTAAAGTGAACATTCAAATGCACATTTTTACAATGAATTCCCTTTTAAAGTCCTCAGTTGTTTCATACACTTTCATAACTTGCTCTATTGAAATAAACAACACTCCATTCTCATGTACAAATAGTTTGATTCAACTCCTGCCCACTTAAATTGGTTTTGATGGCTTCTTTTTTTTCTTGTACATGAACTTTTTCTGAGTATATAGAAGAACATTTCTAGAAGAGCTAGAAGACTACTTACAGGTAGCCTGAGTCAGTTCATGTACAAGTCTGAACAATCAGAAAACAGTAAACAAGAACATAGTACACTGAAAATATTTTAAGTGGTATAGAAACACACATTGCTATTTCAGGTTCTATTGGTACTTTGCTTCCCTGAGCAGGTAAATGATAAAACTGCTCATTTGGAATCTAACCGATTAATTGACTTCTTACAAGAAGAGAAAAATAGCTTACCTATAACAAAGCATGTCGAACTTACAAAGAATGCAGTAAGTAAAAGGCATGTTTTAGCAGAGGCAAAGTTCTATTAAAAAAAAAAAAAAAATTCCCAGGTTTTGCAAGCCAAAACATGAAATCAAAAGAAGTGAGATACAGACAACAAATCCCAGGAAAAAGAAACAATAAGCCATACTGGTAAAGAACTGTGGGAATACTGGCTTGTGAAACTTAGGAAAATTAAATGCAGCACAACATTAGAAAGATGTGAAAAAGCAATGTTAATTCCTATGTTAAGCAGCACATACACTCCACGTATTATTTTTGTTATTAATTTATATTAAAACAGTTTCCACCACAGACAACTTTGATTACACTAGAAAATGTTACCTCAATCAAAAAAAGAAATTAATATCAGGTTTGTATACTCTAAAATGTTTTAACGAAAATTTACCTATGCTCTCACATCCAACTCTGGAGTACCTCTGCTTAAAATCAATAACTATCCATTTTTGTTTTTACCTATTTTCGTTTTTTACCTAAGCACAATGACAATGCTAGCTGGGAGAGGAATGCAGAAAAGTAGAGTGTTTTATTTTGATGTCTTTAAAATCAGCTGGTCCTAGAGAAGAGCACAGATGGATACAGAACAAGAGAAGACAGGAAGGAGCAGGTGGAGGGAGATCATGATATTTTGCCACTCTTGCCAAGAAGGGCACTAAGACACATCTGAGCTGGCGGGGAGAAAGTAACTCCACAAGAAAGTTTGTTGCTTACCAACTTTTTTAAATTTTGCTCGCATTACAAGGGTAATGGAACACAGAAAACCCTGAGAGGTCAGAAAGCAAGAAGAAGCAAACTCAAGCCCCTCCTTCAATCTAATGCAGTTTCCAGAGAAAGAAAACAAGCTTGACAGAGGGACTGAAGTAAAGTTCCACCCAGTATTGTAACCTGCAAGAAAAGTTGTGTGTATTAAATGTGACCTGCAAAGCCATTTTGTAAAAGCTTAGCTTTAGAAACATTCTGTTGGATATTCCAATGCTAGGCTGAGATACATTAGCTACTTTAAGCTCATATTTTCCCCTCCATTTAAGATCACACCTGCCAGACTCTTCTGGGAATCAGTAAGCAGCACACGGAGTACAACCTCAGTCAGTGTACGTTGCACTAGCAAGTCCATCTTGCCTTAGCAGTGCAGCACATACAGAAGACCTGATTATCTGACCATAGGTAATATGTTTTCTTTGAATATCTATAACGGGGTATATTGTGTTCAAGAAATATTTAAACCTTGTACCGAGGGACGTGCTTTAGTGGGAAATATTGGTGGTAGGCAGACAGTTGGACTGGATGATCTTGGAGGAATTTTTCAACCATGGTGATTCTGAACAATTGGCCAAATTTAAAATGGTATAAAGGTTTAAAATATCTTAGAAACAAGATATTTGTAGGAAAAACAAACTAACAGAAAAAACATAAACAATAAGAACCAGATAGCTCAGAACCTAGCCCAATTCTGTACCTTTGCATCCTCTTATTTTTGTTATTCATGTTCAACTGCCAGAGAATTTGAACACCATGAGAAGTCCACCAGTGCAGAATGACCATAAACAGCTGGCTGCGTGGCTTGAACTACAACCAAAATGTGTATATGTACATGTGATGACACAGGGTACAAAGGACCCCTTCAGGGTCAAGGCCACAGATACTTTAATTGAACCCTATGCTACTGAATGAACAGCTGGGTTTGGTCAATGTTGCTTCAATTATGTGTATGCGTGCAAGTGTGAGAAATGAGTGTACTGTGTGAAAAGTTGTTTGTTCAAAATAGAATCAATGTGCTTCACTCAACTACAACTTGATCCACAAAAGGTAATCTAATAAATATTAGTTGCAATGATGTCTCCCGTACTAGAAAAAAAAAAACAGGAATTAAGAAAATACAAACATTTAAGTTCTAACTAGAAAAACTTATTTTTCACCCAGGATTTGTTTTGTTGAATTTTTACTTCATAATGGCAGATTTCATGTAATTGTAACTAAGCTTCAAGAGTGTGTCTTACAAATAATTTTTTGTTTATTTAACAACTGTGAGAATTCTGCAAACTTCTGTAAACAGTGCAAGTGTGAAAAGAACATAAAAGATAAAATATATTCACAGAAACTAACAACAGAAAGGAGAACACTTACCCAGTTAATTCAAGTTGTTTCTTTTTTAATGTGTGCATACACATACACACATACTCTTATGATGTCCTTTCACAAGTGTGCAGTGAATAAATATGCAAAACCATTTAAAGAACATCCAGCTTCAGTTTTAAAATCATGCAGTGCAATTCCATAACAGTGAGGATATTCAAGCAAAAAAAAATCATTATTTGTACAATATGCATTTTTCCCAGAAAGAAAACATACGTGGAACAGAAATCTATTTGAAAGCAGGTTGGCTTGGTAAACTGAGAAATGGGAAACTTGGAAGAAGTTTGCATTTTTATTGTCATTTTTTTAATTCTCTGTTTTCACTGTCTCCTAATCTTTTTGATGATGCAGAGTATACAACATACAAGTATGAAAAACATCACTTCTGTCCACCTGTGATTTATCAAAAACATTCAATTTCTGATTTTTATTCCTGAGATTTACAAATCCTCCAGTGATGACCAAACCAACATCCATATGGGGTGTGTTGTTTTGCTTTTGAATTCCTTTTCTCAAGATGCTGAATAGCTTCTCATATTACAACCTATCCATCCTCATAAATGGTAGCATGAAGAGACAAGCTACCCAGAGGAATGATAACACTGATGTGGCACACTTTTCTTAATTGAATTTTAAGGACTTTTATAGAGAAGAAAGTAAGGGAGGACGTGTTGTCTAGGAACTTGATGGTATACAATATGTTTAATTTTTCTCTCCCTTGAAGAATTTCAGTCTTGCAACTCAAAAAAAAAAAAAAAAAAAAAAAAAAAAGTGGCCTGCAGAATCTAAAAGGTAACTAACATAACCCAGCAAACCTAGTATAAAATCCACTACAGCAGCATTAAGACCATGGAAAAAAAAATTAGTAACTGTCAACTTTCTTAGTCATTCTTCTTATTGCTGCTACTCCCTTCTCCTCCACTCAGTTACCTCACCATGAGACAAACTACATTAATTAAACAAATAATAAATTAACTCCTGACTAAATATCACTTACATTTGCTGACATGTTAACATTTGTACCACAGAAAATACGCTATCACTCAGCTTCTATTCACTGAATGTCAACTACATAGACAATGTTTTCTTTAAAACATACCTGCAGTATGAGAGACTCTTTATCGCCTTCTAATCGTGCCAATCTTTCTTGATAGGTTTCATTATTAGTAGATGAATGATGATTCACCTGTGACTAGAGAGAAAAGGGCAGTACGAATTTTTGCAGTTAATATTAAAATTTCAAGCAGTAGTTCATAAAAATTGATATAGTTTTCATAATGCAAAACACAGCAAAAAGTTTGTCTACATACCAAATCTTTACTTTGTACACGTTAAGCCTTTTGAATGTGCATTTTTTAGCTGGATTTTGAATACTTACTCTTTTCCAGCACTCAGTAATTGTATAGGAATAATTTTGTTATTTTCCAGCAAATTACTGGGGTTTTTTTAGAAGATGCCAGCTTACCAACATAAAAACAAAACACTGTTTACACTATTTGGACTCAACAGTATTTTGCCAAAGTCAAGGAATTTTGATATTTCTTTATAAATACCTGCCATATGTATCACCCTATTCCTAGAAATTTACTGAAAGAAAAGTACAAATTCTTTTCTGATAACTAACAAATTATTTCAATCACTAAATTCCCATCAGGAACTATTCTGATTACATAATTACTTACATATTTCTAAACATCTCTGAAGAGCGAGACCCCCTAAAGCTTGTCCTATTCCTAAAAATTATATCTCATTTTCTATAGATTTTAATACACCAGAGACAAACACCCCAATAATAATAATAAAATAAATTCTTACAAGACAAAGACATATCTGCAGATTTTTAAACAACAACAACAAAAAAAACAACAAAGCAAAACAAAACAAACTTTGGAAGAGTTCATAGTTCCATGGTTCATCATGCATCTGGAAGCTTTATGTAATTGCAGGACTGGAACTGCTTGCTTAAAGTACCCAGTTGTAATATTACCCCATAATGGTTCATTTCCCTATTGCAGGCAATGCTTTTCTGCCTCGAAATAAAGCATGTTTTGGCTACATCAGCTTTTCAGCTAACATAAGAATCCAGCTACAGTGTTGCCTGTATCTGCGCTAGTTTGCAGCACGCTACTCAATTACAGTTGCATGTACAGCAGCAGCGGGAGGATTGTCATCTGTGTGAACTCTGTTCTTTTCCAACCAAACAAGTTTACCTATTTTTTTTCCATAGTCTCCTGATCTCAGCTGAGGTTTAGAGGCCTAACTGTAAAAGAGACCATGAAAATAAACATAGCACTAATTTACGCAAAGCAAGGAGTAGTTACCAATCAAATGCCAAAACACACTTTTCAATCTATGAAATACTGAACTATGTATAAGTTTAGCATCTTTAGTAGTTAAGCTATGATAACCTTCGTCTCTGATATTTTTGAAAGTATTTTAATCAAATATATACATCAACAAACAGGACTGAGACATATCTGAAGAAATAATCTGATTCGTTATTCTGCCTTGGAACAGATGATTATTTGCAATTCTTGTTTTGTCTGCTTCTAAAATCTCTGGAAATGAAAACAGGTACCAGTCTTCACAGGTAATCAAACACCATCAATTTAACTTAGGTCCTATGTATTAAGCTGCATGGTCTTGCAGACTTAAATAACTTTTGTAGTACTATAACAAAAAGAAGGAATCCTTGTAAGTAAGCACGATTTATTTCTGTATGTCTGTGTAGGCAATCCTTCGACCACGGCTATAAATCCTCAATCACACTGCCAGCGATTTTGCTTTAAACTATGTGAAGAGCGAAGTCCTTTAGACCAGAAATCTTTACCCTTGGCAGCTAGGTTTCCATTACAGCCGAACACTCCTCTCCATCTCATTACAAGCTTTTCCCAACAGACAGCCCACAGCCTTCCCCAGCATGTCTCTGACCCATACACCATGATAGGGGAAGACACAACTTCAAGCACCTAGGGTACAACAGCAGACTTCTAGGCAGGAGAAGATTCTCTGAACAACAAAAGCCAGCAGTGAAAACCACTGAGTCAGGCAGATCTTTGCACCTGTTATGCTGTTGTAATTTGTTGTTTTCCTATGCTAAATGTAACCAATCATGTAATCATTCCCCTGCTCCCTTTACAAGCACAGCGTTATTGCCAACACGCTTTTACATAAGCAATCCATCATCAGCATAAACTACAGTTCAACATTTTATATAATCAGTGATTGAGAATTAATTCAACAACAAATAAAGCAAAAATTTCACTGCACTCACATTTATCAAATATGCAGCCCCAATGATGTCTGCAGCACTGACTGACAAGGAAATATCCTATGTTGGAACTTCAATACTCAATACCCATGTAAGACCCAGTAGATCATACACCAGTGTGAACATGGAGAAGGAAAAAAATACCAACCCTGCCCACAGGTCAGACAGAACGCTCAGATAAGTACAGGACAGTACAGTAGACAGAAAATGGCCTGCTTAAAAAAAAAAAGTGGCTGATTGACACACAACAGTTGTTTGAGACTTTGGAAGTCTTTGTGGCATGCATAAAGACAAGATAAAAAATGTAACATGAACCAAGGCCATCTGTGCATGGTTGGAGTGCATTCAGCAGTTGTGAAAGACAGTACTGAGATAAAACTAAGTATAGTTACATATCACACGTATCGGCAGGACCCAAATATAGGACACAACACTGAAGTCAAGACTAGACAGCAAATCAGGGTAGGAAATCACAAACACACACTAAACTTATGTAATCACATGATCGAAAGGTTGAATCACCAAGATTTTCTACAAAGATGTTACTCCAGAAAAAGCAGAAAATTAAAAACCATTACTTGAGCTTCACAATTTATAGCTAAATGTGTTAAATGTATTTCTTGCAATGAAAGAATGGGTAGCATAATACACAATAAACTTTCTGATAACGTGATGAAGAAATAGAAGGAAATATATGTTCAGTGAAGGTGATTGGAACAGTTACAACTGCTGCAGTGCTGCAAACAAGAAGTCAAGTATACAGCCTACGTGCTCTGTTAAGACAGAAACTGCAAAGCAGTTTCTTGAAGCACCTATACTACACTCTCCATAAAGAACCTGGGTATACTTTAGTGCTCCGACTGCATCAGATACAAATACAAAATATTTCCTTGAACAATTCAAAACCAACCATTTCTTCCACTTTTGGAAAAAAAAAAAAAAAAGAAATTTTTGCATGTCAACACCTACTTCAACTTCTTATTCATCTGAAGTTTCCAGGTCTATCTTGAAAATGCTCTTTTACCTCTAACTTGGACATAACACTGATATGTGCTGGAAAATTGAGCATTTAAGTATCATTTACATGATCCAGGAACTACAGAATCCTATTCCAAGAAAAAGGCTCAAACATTATGATTATGATACCATAAATAAATTAAATCAGAATATAGATCATGATTCAACAGCTTCAGGTCAAAATAAAGATAAGCAGCAATAAATACAGCAAGAGTATGGCAAGAAAGGCAGGACATCTGATCAACTAGTTAGCTTAATTTTCAATAGCCTTCTCAGATAGGAGCTCAGAGTCCAGCAAGTGAGGAATTTTATGGTTTCTTCCATAGTTTTATTATTTTTTCCGTGTTATTTTAACAGGATGCAGCATACTGTCAGAAATGAACAACCACCACTGTTTAGAGTTTCTGTACAGATGTTCTAGTCTGAAGTTTCTGAAACAAACTTGTTGAATCATGACAGACTGTAGGAGTCCCTTAAAGGAAGCACACTTCCAAGATAATGGAATTGAACAGAGGCCAATTTATGTTCTCCTCATGTGTTAAGTTTAATCTCCAAGAATTTCCAACACAGCTAATTTTAAAACTTCTGAAGTTGATCAGCCAGCTGTTACAATTATTTTTCACTAATGTCTGGGTCTCATATTGGGTTATAGAAGAAAAAGAAGTTGAGAAAAGAAACTTGGCAGTCAGCTAGACTGGTGATTTGTAAGCTTTTTCAATAAGTCACTTGCCTCACAGAAAACAGATAATGGCAAAACCATCCTTTCCTCTTATTCAGTCACACGAATCAACTTCAGTTCCACTGATAATTGAATCAGATGCTTACGGCAACTGGAGTGCTTGCATTAGTAGGAAAGATTAGGGACAAACTTGATAAATTGTCTGCTGTTGCAGTTTAGAAGCTGAGAACAAGGAGTGTAGCCAGCACAGTTCAACCAGCCAGTTTTCCACAAACTACTAAGAGCACAAAGACTGCAGGAAAAATGTAGACTACAGACATTTTTCAGTCTATTTGGAGTTGATAATATTTAGAAGAATATGGACTTCCCAACTCCCCCCCTCCACTGTTTTGGGTCAGCAAAACTGATGCTGTGTTACAGTTTTTGCTGTTGTAATATTGAGTCAGAAAACACAAAGAGTGAGTAACCAACAAAGGAAACACTTTGATTTTGGCACCTATCTGTTAATATAAACTTAATTTATTCTTTTGATACCTGAGATATATGCCCATGTGAATCTATGTACATTCACTCAGTGTACTTGAGGAGGGAGAGATGGCTGGAATGGGATTTCTGGATTTTGCCTTTCACCTGAAAGCAGAAGTAACAACTGGATTTTCTGTTTTCTCCTGCTCCTTTTTGATTAAAGGAAAGTGAAAGTCAAGCTAAAACAGCTAAGAGCACACAGTACAAAGGTAGGTAAATTTATACAGTCCTTAAAATCAAAGAATTTTCACCAAACATTTACACTTTTATCAGGAGAACTCCTAATGCTAGTACTTAAAGGAAGATGTCCATATGCAAGTCATGACGTTCATCCTCAATATCATCAGCTTAAGTGATACAGCGTGAGTTCAACCGCGTCACCTTTTGCTAGTAGAGATTATGTATAGTAGTCAGAACCACTAATATATATCTTTCTCAGGTCAACCATCGGCTCAGCTGTGTGAAGACTTCAAAAGGTAAGTCCAAAGTAAGCTGCAAGAGTTATCAGGTGTTTTGATTTCACATGAAGGCATTTCTTTCAAAATGAAAAGCCTTAGCACTTCAGTGTTTTTTGGACAAGAGATTCTCCATTTTGCTACACTCCATCCGCTGCAGTTCAAATAGCTCAGTTAATTTACAATTTAATTAGAGACCCATTACATCATTTAGTTCTGTAATGAAACATAGTAATGTTTTTTAA